GTAGTCTAGACATGTGTCTTTATTATTTTATTTTTACTTTGTCCTGTTTATTTAGATTCTGTCTATTTGGGAAATTGTTATTGTTTAATTCTTCAAAAATTTATGTTATTTATTAAAGCAATCCATTATTGTACTCTTCCAATTTGCTTGTTTTCTTCTTTAAAAAAATGTCCATTATTCATATTACCCATTTTACATTTTTTTCAACAGACTTCTTAGAAATCAAAACCAACAAATCCCAACCAAATTATTCCACCTTCTTTCATGAATTAATTTAAATAAGAAACAACTGTTTTGCTCCAATAACATCACCCAATGAAAAGCGTTTAATTTACGGCTGAATTGTTATTAATTTTTGTTACGACATCGTCAAACATTTCCTGAATGGAAAACAAATCTCAAATTACAACAATGCAAAATGGCAAACAACAGATAGATGATAATAGGGAAACCCAATCTTTTGGCCGGAAACAAGATTAAAAGCTCATCTTATAACACCAAACCAGGGCCACCGAAATAACTACAATTTTACAAAATTCTTTGTTTGTTCTTTCAACTGTAACACAAACCTCCTTTAATTAGACCAAATTAGAAACATGTGTTTACAAAAACCAAGTGCAAATGTGACCAAGTTCCCCCACAAGAGAAAGAACCAAGGTCTACACAATATGAACGTTACGAACCCAAAAGATGTCGTTAGTTCCACACGAAACCACGACCAGTGCGCAGTGAAATTATTCCCTCGACACAATAATAACAGTAAGATCCGGCGGATGACACTAGTCGGAATTTCTTTGTGTGCCAACCAACAAAACAAGTGCCAGTGTTTTGTCAACCAATCAAACGGTAAACATTTTTTTACGAAACTAAACAACACAAAACTAAAGCAACAGTGACCTTGATATCATTATTTTGATTACAAATAAGACAAGAATTTGATCGAGGAAAAACGAAAGTAGCGACGACAAAAATCCGGACGTTCAAGCATAAAACCAGTGAAAATATCCGACTTTCAAGGAAATAAACTCTTACTTAACCACTTGAATCAAACTTGTTGCAAATTACGTCGATATTTTCATCTCAATCAGGGTCAAATCTGTTGCGTACATTAAACCTTATCAACGTCAAATTCACTTCGAAAAAAATTCTAGATAACAACCAACCATGATCTTCCGTACTCTCTTACTTTTCGTCTTTTTCGCCCTCGCCAAAGCCCGAATTAAAACCCCGGCCAAAGTCGACGTCGATCAACTCCGTTCGGACTTCCTCAACCTCGAAGACCAATTATGGAATTTCGTTTCCGGTCAGTCCGATAATCGTCTCAAAGAAAACGACCAAATTGAAGTCTCACTCATACGAGAATTTGAGAAATTCGGTGATAAAATCCAACAAGTGTTACCACATGACCTCAATCACGGATTACAAACACTGGAGGGTGTTTGGGCCTATGCCTATGCTTACACCGATCTGAGGGCCATTTATGCCCTTTATGAGACGTTTCGGAGGTTTCAAGCCCTTCAAACGGCCGAAGGAAGGATACCGTCGCCGAAACAGGCATGGATTGACCTCACCAAGGCCATTTTGGATGACCCCAAAAATAGTATCAATGAGTCGTTAACAAGACTGCATTATGTCGTCGAGCAAAAAAATCTATTCGTTGAATCGGAAAAGGTAAAAACGACTCGAGTTAAAAAAAAATCAAAGGCAAAAAGGAAAATAAAACAACATTTAATTTGACAATTTGTCCAAGAAAAGCTGCCAATCGTGGAAAAAAATGTGTCCACTTTTCGTATTTTCAAGATTATTATTATTTAAAAAAAGCAAAATAACTGAAATTTATTCGTTTTTGTCTTTGACTATACAGAAGCCATCGAAATTTCGCTTTTAGAATCAATTAAAAAAATAATAAAGGCGAAACGATAACAAAAAGTTGTGTTTAATAATTTATGAAAGAAAATTTAATTTCTGCAGCCACTGGTGGTAGAAAAAATATATGTACACTTACGTATTTTTCAATTTTAAAATTATTTAAAATTAGAATTATTTTTGTCTGAAGCATGAATATTTTTAATTTTTTACACTTATAATTTTTTGTTTGAATAATTTTGACCACCAAAGTCATTGAAACTTCGCTTTTAGAATTAATAAAAATAAAATGAAAAGGCAAACCGACAAAAAAGTACTGAATGAAAAAAAACTTATTTCGTTCTCTTTATAAAAGAAAATTTTAATTTCTGCAAAGCTACTGGTTGTTGAAAAAATATATAAGTATACATTTTCGTATTTTTCAACTTTATTATATTATTATTTAGAAGAAAAAGTTAAATTACTCAAATATAATCGTTTTTGTCTGAAGATTGAATTTTTTGTTCTTTTTTCAATTTTTTTTAGTCAGTTTCGATTGAACTCCAAAGTCACTGAAACTTTTTGAATTAACAAAAAAAATTAAAACGCGAAACGATAACAAAAAATACTGACAATAGAATTCTGTTTGATAAATTGATAATTTAACAAAGAAAATTGAAAATTTAATTTTTGCAGAGCCACTAGTCGTAAAAAAAAATAATTGTACACTCGTAATTTTTTAATTTATTAGATTACTATTTAGAAAAAAAGTAAAATAACTCAAATATAATTGTTTTGTCTAAAGCTAGAATTTTTAAGTCATTTTTACTACACTTATAATTTTCATTTGAATGAAAAGGCAAAATGACAAAAAAAAGTACTGACAATAAAAAAAAACTTATTTCGTTCTTTTTATAAAGGAAAATTTCAATTTCTGCTACTGGTTCTAGAAAAAAAAAATACATTTTCGTATTTTTCAAGTTTATTAGATTTATTATTTTGTCCTTTTGATTTATTAGTCATTTTATACATTTATAATTTTCGTTTAAATAATTTTGACCTCCAAAGTCACTGAAACTTCGCTTTTAGAATAAAAAAATGAAAAGGCAAAATGACAAAATAAGTACTGACAATAGAGAAAAAACTTATTTCGTTCTCTGTATCGAAGAAAATTTAATTTCTGCAAAGCTACTAAAAAAAATATTTGTACACTTTCGTATTTTTTAACTTTATTAGATTACTATTTAGAAAAAATGTAAAATAACTCAAATATAAATTTCCGTAGAGCTACTGGTCGTGGAAAAAGTATTATATAGGTTTCATAACTTCAATTATTAGTTTTTATTTAAAAAACTGGAACAATTAAAGTCAAACTTTGAGTTTGAATTAGTTTAAAAAACGTGTGAATCCTTAAGCTCCGCCTCTAATCATTGGCTCCGCCTTTTTCAGGAAATCGAAGGTGATATGTTATGCAACTCGCACCAATCACCCCAACAGGTCCTCTTCTCCCTTTACAATGCCATCTCCCTCACCGAACTTAAAGGTTACACAATGATTCAATTCGCCTACATGCTGAAACGTCTCTACGGTGAAGGCAACTTCACCACCGAATCACAAATCGCTCGTGAACACTTCCAAGAACGCACAACAAACATCATCGATGCTGTCAAATCAGCAATGTCTTCAGCATCACGTGATTTATGGAAATGTGATCCTAAACGACACGTTTCAGGCGAAACTTATGTCGAAGTAACACAACTTTTACAAGGTTACATTCAAAATGAAGTCGATTTAAATCCAGAGGGAACATGTCGTGAAAATTGTGCCGAATACACTTATACCAAAAGTCATGGTTGTTATAAAAATCTCTGGTGTCGTCAACAACGTCGTTGTCATGGTAAAGTGATAAATTGTAAATATGTCGATTCGGATATGTGGGTGTGTCCGGCGGATAACCAAAGTAGGCGGTACGAATACGTCGAATATGAAAATGGGCGTGTTTTGGGGCGGAAACAGGCATGTAGGAGGGGCACAAGCAAAGTTGATAGTTGGTGGAGGTGGCTTTTCTGGCATTGCTCCTATTGTTTCTGTCTTTGTGACGAACAAGGTGTCAACTCTGATCGATATATCAATTTGAGAGCTTCTATAGCCGACATACAAAACAATCGAGTGGTTACAGGCCTACGTTTCGTCAAACATAACAGAATAATTCATTTACAAATCCAAGAAGGTAAATTGTTACCACGTGGTAACATCGATGTAACCACAGTTCATTGGGTACCAGTCGAAGAATACAAAATAACCGATTCTAATGTTGTCAATGGACAAGATTACCACACTCTAAGTTGGGAAAAACGCGCTGTTGATTTAGACGATTTAACCACCGATGAGGGTTTCGTTGTAACCGGTGTCCGGTTTAAACTAATCGGTTCACACCTAAATTTTGAAATTTATACAACACCATTCGACTACGAAACCGGTCAATTAATCGATCCGGAAACCAAAAGTATGTATAAGGATAACCCCAATACAGACTCTTCCCTCTACAAACCGAGGTGAGTTGGTTATAACCGTTTCAAAATATGAAATTAATTTCTCTTGTAGGACTAGAGTTAGACTGACCAATCCCGATATCAGTACTCGATCACCCTCCCCCTCACTCCCCGATTCGAAAACCGACCAATATATTGAGTTTACCAACACTGATATGGACCGAGACGCCGCCCAAACCACCGTTCCATTTTTCGACGCCCAACCTGTGGATTCCCTACAACCGGTGCCCCTCACTGGGGCCGGGATTTTCCATAAGGGACAGAAATATTTCGGTGGTTTCATCGCCCCCAAATTAATAACGTACGATTTCAGTAAACACCTCCAGATTGCTTTCCCCGAAAGCGAACCTGAGGTTAATTAATACGTAAATACCCAATTGTGTAATACTCTGTGATTTATGTTACGTTTTTTTTTTAATTACTGTAATAGTCATTACATTTGTAGAGAAATGTTTTAGTTAGTTTTCATCAATGTTTTTGTATGTTTGTCAACGAATAGACTAATTATTTATACCGATTCCATTATTTTCATTTGTTGACCTTCAGGACATATTATTTTGACCTATCAGTGTGTTTGACCGCAAATGCGATATTTGTTCAAAGAGTAAATGTAAATTTTAATTAATGGTATGTAAATTAGTGACGTGGTGCTCGACGGAACGTAAATGATTTTTATTCATCTGGTTTTGGGTAATTGGGCGATGGTTTAATCGAATTTTAATGGAATTAATCGACAAAAATCCAACGAAAAAGCATTTCAAGTATGTAGAGGCAAAATAGAAAAATCTGACTATACTTAAAATTCCTCCACTGTAGAAATTATTAATTCGATAAAACTTATCAAAAATTACACATCTTTAATTTCATTAAAAAAATTCTTGTTTAAAACACATTTTCTCCAAAATTTTTAGTTGTGTAAGAAATGTTCACCTTTTGCACGATTTTGAATGCGTATTTCAAACGGTTTTAACTTTCATTTAAAAAAAAATCGCACTTGAGGTTCGAAAATGGCCACTTTGGGCTGTTTTTAATTGTTTTATTAAGCAAAAGATCAAAAATAGAGGGCTTCTACTGGTTTTTTCATGCAGAATCAAAATTTGACCATTTGTTTCTATCGATCTTACTTTTTCTTATAGGCAAATCGACGCCATGTGGAGAATTTAGTCTTTTTTTTAACGTAGATGGTGGAAACAGCGATATTTTTGGGCATTCTACATTGGAAAAAATACAGCAATCGAATTAAAATTTAAGTGAAATAGAAACTGGATCATTGTTGTCATTAGTGGAAAAACAGGTGTGTTATTTCTTTCTATCGCAATTATAAGTAGAGTGGGGTAAAAGCTAAAAGTACACACCTGGGCGTATATGGACGAGTCTACTTTAAAAAAGAGGGGAGTTATAACGTTCGAGCACAATCAAGCTCCATCCAGGTATGTACTTTTAGCTTTTACCCCACTCTACTTATCTTTGCGAACCCCTTCCAAAATCTGAAAGAGATTGGCGAACCCCAGATGTAATCGTTATTACTGTGCATTATGATAAAATAATAACTATAAATAGTACAATTACTTTTTTATTTCTTAAAAAATAAAAGTCCCTTTAGCAAATATAAAATTGTAAATGTCAGTTACTTTTTTTTCGCAAGTCCCTTTAGCAAATACAAAATTGTAAATGTTAGTTACTTTAGTTACTTTTTTTTTCGTATTATTACCGGTGCAAAAAGTATTTTTGTCCAAGAGCTAATGAATTTTTTTGGAAATAATTTTCGTGACAACACACATGATTGTCCAATCAAAGAGATTTTAAGTTTTTTTTCTCTATAGGTAAGATAAATGTCTGGCGAGTTAAATACTAAACAATTAAAAAAGTCCTAAAAATTTGCAAATTGCTTTTACTGAAAGTTTATTTTCTTTAGGAAATCAAAAAAATTTATAACGAAAAAAACAGGATTCACAGGAAATTTTTTGCCAGACTCAAAATTTCTTAATAATTAAACGATTTTTTGATGACTGGGAAAATTAGTTCCAGAAAAATTCACTAACTCTTGGACTGACTGTACGTACTGTCTGTTTTTTTTAAACGATTTTTTAAGTGTTAAAAAATCCTGACCTTGGCCCCACTAGGAAATTTGTGGTAATTTCAATAAAAGAAGTTTTCATTTTTGCTTTATTTTGAAAAAATGTCATTAAATTTTAATAAAAATGGGCAAAGACAAAAACAGGGACAAATTAACATTAACACAGTAATGCTTTCAAAATCCATAAAACTCAAAATTTTGACAACATTTCAACGTGAAAACGACGATGACAGAGATTGTCAATCATTTTGAAACGTTCTATAGTAGAAATTTTTAGAGACAACAACAAAAAATAAAACAACTTTATCGCCATAGAAATAAGTTGCTGACTTGGTAAATAAAAAACAATACTTTATGTAAATTTATTACTGTTAACTCCTGGGGGAACCAATGGTTTGGGACATTGCACCATCATATACAGATCAAATTTTCGTAAAATAGTACCCAAAAAACGTGATTATGCGCAAAAATGAGATCGATAGGAACAAATTTGGAGCCCATTCACTTTTTTCTGAATAAAAATACTCCAACCCAAAATTATACAAATCTAGAAAAAATATTGTATGCACTGACCTGGACTCTTAACGGATGCATGATCATCACCATCAGCTCCTCATTCGATGGCAACACTTCATCCAACGTAATCCCCTGTTTGGAAACAGCTTGACACAAAAAAACGGAAAAGTAGCGATGAAGAGGCAAATGAAACGACACTTGTAGATTATCATTCTACAAAAAAAAATTATAAATACCTAATTGTATAAAACAAACAAAATTTTACCATATTCAAACTCGTAAAAGTGATAGCTTCAAGCCAATTCCTCAATTCCCTCAAACAAGCCGAAAGCACTTTTCGTGTCAAATCTGCTGTACTTGAATCAGTTAAATGCGACACTAGCGCCCACATTGGATACGCACTCGCCTCCAGTTCGGCACTAAACGCCGCAAAATACGTATTAGGTTCAAATTTGACATGTTCTTTTGTTTCACGTTGATTAACATTCATGCCTTGAAACATAGCCAAAAACCCAAACCACATTTTTATAAGCATATCATCTGACATAAATTTGAGTGCGACAGGTCTGTGCGATAGCACATTATTCAAATCGCTAACCAATGGCCAATAGCAATGATCCGTCATCACTCTTTTACTACAATCAACCACGTAATGGAAATTATTCTCTGCGTCTGAAACACAAACAAATCACAATCAAAAAAATTAAAAGAGACTCAAAACTCACCATGGAGGCTATTCTCGACCAATATCTTACTCATCATGTAACGCAAACTCACCACCATTACATGTAAAAGATTCAATTGTTCGGTCATACGCAACGCTAGACTTTCATTCGAGAATAGTTGCACGCTAGCGTGGACGACTCGATTACTGACATTTTCGGGATCATTCGTTCGTTCCAACATCATCGAGATGCGACTATAGTGTAAAACAATTGCTCGCATCAAAGCCTCCTTATAATCAGGATCCGGTAACATATTCAAAAGTAGACAGACGACTTTTTCGGGAAATTCAAACATGACCGTCCAAAAAACAAGTTCCTCGAGGAAAGTTTTATGTACGAGATTTTTATGAAGCGAAGGACAGTCTTTATACTCTTCTAACGGTTCCGGATTGGCTAATGAAGCTAACGCCTCTTCGTAAATTCGCTTCGAATCGGTGATATAGGCGGCATATTCCGAATCACAATTTTCAGGAATTTCATTCAAATCGCGATATTTCTGCGGATTGGTCAATGCTGATGTCATTACGCGTCTCATCAACGCCCCCATGTTATTAAAATCGACCAACATTGTAATGAAACCATCTGCATCCTGAATCGGACCTTTCATATGACTAAAAAATTACGACAGAATTAGTTTGAAAAATTAACAATGATTTTAATACCCACCAATTTTCCCTTAAATGTAAAATAAATCGAAAAATAATCCTTGGCATCATCGCCTCAGCCACACACATTAAATCATTCGGCGCTTTTCCCTTATTTGCCGATTTATCAGGACCGTGTTGGTCGCAAAATCTAGAAAAAAAAATGGTAAAAAATAATAATTGAATTGATTGAAACAAATACCCTGTCTCCTTCATGACTGAGGTGTCGCCACAATCGCAAGCACCGCCTGCTTGACTCAGAAACATGTTAAAATCGTGTCGTTGATGATTGCCTTTTTTGAAACAGTCAGTACATAGGGACATACAGGGGGATATACCGCAGGTTCGGCAACGGTAGGCCACGAAGTTGGGGGTCCAGACGAGGCCACAGGTCGTTTGGTTGTCGTATGCTCGAACTGGAAGCAAATTTTTCAGTCAACAGGAGAAAAGTTCAAAATTAGGTTGGCAATACTGAACAGATACTCAAAATTATTCAGTGTTCCCAAATTGATTTCAAAATAAAAACCGACACATTTAGGACAACCCTCGTACATTGAAATTTCTTTTTCGATTGTGAAAAATGATGTTGGCAACACTGTACGTTATCGAGGTTTCTAATTGATTCAGTTTTGCCAACAAAATTTCAAAATCATTGCATACAGTGATCAGTAATTTAATTACAATTAATGTATTTTTAGTTATACGAGGGAGGTTTCAAAAGCAAAAAAAATTTTTTTGACCTTCTCAGGTAGGTTTTTCAAGTTCAGATGATTCATAATGTCTGTTATTTCATTTGTTAGCCATGATCACATATATTCATGAATATGCAGAAACTTGTAGTTTATATTTCAATTTTTGAATGGAAATTATTAAATTAACTGGGACATAAAAACGCTTATTGGATTATAAATATGTAAAAATAAAACTCAAATAAAAAACAACTAGAAAAAAAAAATTTTCTTGCAAAAATCACAATCCTGCAGTTAATTAGTTAATTCCTAATTAAATCTTTAGCGTCACAATTATTATCAATTAGTCCCACTGGATGAGGCAAGGTCTCGATTAAAAAAATTGGTCACTTTTTGCACTTCTGAATTAAATTAAAACAATTTTCACTTAACCTTTCAACTTCAAACAAAAGCACTTAATAGAATTACAAGTGAAAAGAGAAACCAAGTCGAGCAGAACGATACTAATTGCAATACCAACAACACGAAGGAATAGAAAGTAAAAAAAACTGTGATTAAATTTTGTGTTTCTCACAAATTTTTCAAAATTGTGACAATTATTCCAAGCGTAGTTTTTTCGCCAGGAAGTGTCAAATTATTCGGTCATTGTGGCCCACCGAAACGCGATTTTAAATGTCTCTAATTAAGTGCAATTTTTTCGACATAAATCATAATTAGAGGACTCGATAAAATAAGCTTGAAAATTTTTCTTGTAAAAAAGTAAGTTTCTACAACAATAACAATTTCAACTAATGACTCGGTCATAGATAATTAACAACATCCTATGCGTTATATTATAGTCTTATCGACTCCGCCAGGTTGCTCACATATTCCTCTGCAGTTCACTGAATGGAAAAATTCAAATACGTCTGCCGGCTTATTTGTTGCATACATACAAGGGTGTAAACAAAAAAAATTGTTAAAAAAATACCGGTTATTGCTCCCATTGAGTCCTCCAACTGGATAAAACAAATAAAAAACAATTATTTACACACAATGCGTACACAATTTCCATTGATTGGCACTTTTAATTACAAAAAATCGATAAATCTAGCCTTCTTAAAAATAATACAGAAATTATACCAGGTGAGTCCAGTTTTATTAAAACTGTAAAAAAATAATAGGCCGTTTTTTCACATAAAAATCATTTTGTCCAAATTAGACTCTAAAATTACCGACAAATAATATAAAAATCGATTTTATTAAATTCTAACATTTTTTTTTCAATTAAAATATTTGCAATATTTTTGGAGAAATATTTTTTACCTGCACACGTCACAAAATGACCACTTTTGTGACTAAATGTTACAAGTAAAAGTTATATTTTATAACCAAGAAGTAAAAATTCTATTTTTGTGCCTAAGCGTTTTTACTTTTACCATGACATTTACCAATGTTGTCTTTTTTGATGCTTCAGAAATTTACAGAGAGGTACATGGTAGATCATCAACATTCGACATTTAGCCCTACTAACTGCACTAGTTAAGTTAATAAACACTTTCGAAAATCTCAACACATATTCCGATACTGACGCATGATGTTTGTTGTGATTTTATTACTTGCAAAACATTCTGATGATTTTGTTCATTTACTTGCTACTTATAGTGTTACTTTTTACTCTCGATTTAAATACGTTTGCGAATAAAATAGTATATGTTGTTAGGAGTAATGGCTCAGCTGAATTACTTTTTTTTTCACTTTTACCCTTAACAACACAATATACTATTTTAAGTTATGGGAGAAATAAATTGATAAAACAAAACTTTCTTCTTTCCTAGTAAGATTTTACGTAGTATTTCATATTTTAGTTTAATTAGAAAAAAATGTTTTGTTAAAGGTGCGGTTAGAATTTGACTCACCCGGTATACTACTCAAATGGCCAAATAAAAAATAATAAATTTTGTAATGTAAACAACTTTTCCTAAGGTGTTTTCTCCAACGCCCACTAGCAATAATTTCTTCATTAGTTTGTTTACAAAGCAATGTTTCGTATTATTACATTTAAAAGTGTTAAAACTTTGTTTTGTTTGGAATAAAATTCTTGTGGATTTTTTCCTGGTTTATAGCAAAGCTGATCAAACATTTTTTTATGGGAATTTCCCCGAATTCATCGGTTTCTATTCTTCTCAATGACCGGCATACGAAATCACTTCTATTAATTACGGAATTTAATTCAATAACGTGATGTCTTTTACTTCTCGTCCGTTTTCGCTATACAAGAATTCCCGTCACTGGCGACGCTTTCGTGCCAACGACCTCCGAAAATTTCTTACTTCTTTCGTTTTACTTCCAATTTTAATTAACAAAATTCCCAACGAATTAAATCCAACACAACCGAGACAAACATTAACCCAAATCTTCCGATTTTATCTTATCGAGACTAGAAACAAAGGTCACAGTTATTTTCCAAAATCAAATATTTACTATTTTGTTTTTGTCCTAGAAATTTTTCAAATTACGTGCGAGTAGTGTAACCAAGCCAACGCGACCGGATATCCACAAATAAAATTTCGCAGGACATAAATTTAGAAAGTGGTAGGCGATGACCACAAAAAAAATTATTTAATGAACCAAATATGGTAAAGACCTCGGAATGATACACCAATCAAAAATACTCATTTCTTAATTAACACACCCAGATTTAACCACCTTATCATAAAATTAAAGATTTGGCCTCGTTTTCGACCCAGACACGAATTTTTGGCACGACGCGGGCCTTAAATATTTTTCTTGAGTGTATTTACATAAAATTAAATAACCACCTAATGCCAAAGTGAAATGAAAATAAAAAATATTTGTGTTGTGCCAGTTATTGAATTAGAAATGAGAAATAATTAATCGACATTTAAAATCGCAATGTCACGACGAAATTAGAATAGGTGGCTGAGTGACGCGACTGGACAGTTTTGCCAACGCTATAAAAATTTTCTAAATTATTTTAGACTGTAAAGATCCTTTCAAATTCTTATTCATCCCAGCTAATTTAATAATCTTTTAGATCCAAAAGTAGATCTACTTGAAGTGCACCATCTAAAAATATTTTTATTATATACAGGGTGTTGTATACAGAATGGTGAACCAAAGTTATAGAACATCCAATATATTTTTACATTATTAATTTCAACGTGCTTTGTGTAAACTATTATAGGTCTAATTCTTTCCGTTTCGGAATTATTCAACATTTTGTTAAAAAAAAGACCAACATTTGAGAAATCATTACGTAGTCGGCTATGAATATTTTTCGAAAACAATGCAAAAGAAGAACTCAGAGTAGCTACTAGTGTTAGCAAATAGTCGACTTTTAGTTTCAACACAGGGTGTGCCAACACACAAAATTTTGAATAAGTAGTAACTTTTCTTAAATAGAACACCCCTGTATTAGTTTTCACGTTTTGATTGCATTTTTGACAAGCTTTTCAACGGTATGCGGTTTGTATACTTAGTTTTGAAATATTTCTCAAAATTTTCAAAAAAAAATCAAATAGCAAAAAAGTTATGAACCGAATGAATACATACCCCTGGGTCAGAAAAAAAAACAACATATTTCAGAAACTAAGCAAAATTGACCAAAGTTTATTAGCTTAAAAATATTAAAACTAACATAATAGTGTCCCAATTAAAAAACGCAAGTTTGTATTGTAACAATTTTTGGGACACATTGTAGAGTTGAAAATAACTTTAGGCGATTGACTAGATTAGTATCTATCAATTTTTTGCACCCTGTATATCTTTGATTTTCAGTGTTTTGCCACTCTCTATGACAATGTTATAATTTTTTATAACTCGGCTCCGCCTCATCGTCACAATCGTACGATAGCGGCCTTCATTTGCTCACTTATTGCATAAATGTTGGTGATCTAATAACCATTTATTGAATTAACACCAAGAAATTTGTAGAAAAAATTCCGTGTATTTCTCTTTGTTCGTGCATCTTTTCGCATCACGCGAAGACAATGCTCGCACAATCTGATAAGATAATTAGACGTTTTGGTTCTCTAAGATTTCAGCTTTTCGGCCAATTATCCAACAAGTGCAGCTTTTAATTTTAAATTGATACAAATCATATGCGTAACGTGATTGGTAACTTCCTTCGCATCGAAAGTTATTTTCTTTATGTTGTTATCACCAACGCCTTGACATACAGTACTCGACGTCCTTGACATTTCTATTCCTTATATTATTTAAAAAAAAATGTAACTAAACCCCTAAAACCAGTAGTGGACACAAAATAAAATTTCGGCAATTTTTTGCTTCGTCATAAATCGCAACAACACGACCTTTGTTGGAATTTGAGAGGTTTAGAAGGTTGTTTTATTGACAGTTTTCCTATGAGAAAACGTTGTTATTCGATATTAAAAACGATTTTTGTTGTGTGGAGAACCAGCCGAGCTCGATAATGGTTTGTGTAATTCTATGAAACCTGCTGGAGTCGGATGACGATGGCCTGATCATGGACTCGAGACCGGTTGAAATTATTTTTTGGGAAGTAACTCGCTGTGACTCGCCTAATCCATCATCATTATTACTTTTGTTTGCTCTTCTGACGCAAAATTGTTCATTTCTTCGCTTACGGAAAACCTCAGTGTTTCGAAAAATCATTCCAATACTACACTATTCATTTTGTTTGTAATTTTCCTTTCGTGAGTCTTATAACAGACGCAAAGGAATTCTTTCAGTGTGAAGTGGGAAATTAATTAAAAATTAAGCTTAAGCAATGTTTTTATTCAAATAAATAAATTCGAATAAATGTGACACAAAATAATACCAGAATGTTCGTTCCCACACTACGGCGACAATCCGGAAAACAAATGACGATACTTCCGTGGATTGCTTGATTTGTCGGCAATTAAGACATATGGCATGAAATACTGATGGCATTTTTAGCATTCTTATTTCGATTTGGAACCGGAAATTGTACCTTTTTCTTCTTTAAAAATATCAAAAACAATTAAATCAGCATTTTTTTTAAATGTGACAACTAAAAAATTAAATTTTTCAAAATTGACCGAAGAATTACAACTATCTACATTTTATTCAATTTTTATAAAGAAAATTCTATACAGGGTGTTTCACACAACTTTACGAGGCTTGCGCCTACTATACGCACCTAAAGATACAAAATTCACAAAACACCAAACCGTGTACTAATATTTTGGAGTTAAATAACATTCTTGATAATCACAATTATGTGCGTTTTTTTCTCGGTTACAGTATTTCTGTACTATTCTATTACTAGGTCAATTTTCAACTCCAAGACTGTAAACACCCTGTATAAAGCAAAATTTATTGACATTTAGAAAAATTATAAAATATTTTTTTTTAATGTCAATGACGTCATCGCTTGAAAACAAATGGAAATAAAAATTTAAATTTCAAACTAGAATGTGTATTTTTAAAAACCAAAATTGATTTGTTTCATAATTATTTCGAAAAATGAACAGTTTTAATTTTAAATGAATTTATCTACGAGTTTTGTTACGCCTTCTAGGCATATTAAAAATATCAGAATGTAATATACAGAGGGGAGTCTAAAAACTGTCCAAAAATTATTTTCTTTATTTAGGTATAATTTCATTATTAATATTTATTGACATAATAGCAATATAAGTTATAAAGTAACTACAAAAACTACTGGATTTATAAAGTTTCTTCTTCAAAAAATTAAGTAAAGGTTACTACATAAATATTTTCAAATTTCAGTGATTCTCTTTTGTTTTGGTTACTGATCTGCTTAAATTCTGCTTCAATTCACAAAATGTCATCACCTCGAAAGCAAAAAGTGAGGTTAGTGGTTTTCACAAAACGTATTTTCTCATTTTAATTCAATTAAATAAAATTAATATCAAACAATAAAGGTCAAAATTAATTAAAATGCATCAAAAAAGAAACGCAATAATGATAAACTAAAAAAAAAAATAGATCAATTGCGTTATTTTTTTATCAAATCTACCAAACTATGATTCAAATGAAATTCCATTTTATTGCACCACATGGTGTATTTTATCCGGGTTTGAATTTTACCGGAAATAAATTTTTGAAACGAGCATCGTTTCTAAATCCTTTGTCCTTTGTCAAAGCTGACCGAATCCATAAATAAATATTTTTCAATAAGGTGAAACGAAACCTTCACACGGCTTTAATAAATAAACAATATTCATTAGTGAGAAAGGTCAATGACACTTAAAAAATGCGACAGATGAGGAAAATGACAAATGTCATGTAATGACAGCTGATCACTTTCAATTTTTTTTGTGCAAGTGAACTTGATCGAGGTCGTGTTTGGTGTTGGTTTTACCTGGAACTCAGGTGCGTCTACCTGGAAGGGCTTTTTTCATGGCCAAGTTGGCCAATTAGGAACGGTTGCAGAGCATCGCCAATTAATAATTTTAATAGCTCGTTCCGTTCCGTTCTCGCTCGAGCTGTCACAGCCCCCAATGACAGACAGACACATGTCAGATGTTGCACATGACAAGGTCGGCCCCCCTGAGTCATTGAATGTCATACCTGTGTTGGCGAATTCGTCGGGGGTCCGACCCCCGGCCATCAGCCATTTGCACCAGTCGATGGTCTCCCACTCGTCGATGGACCTCGCGGGGTTCAGGAGACTGTCGAGGACGGCGTTGAGGTGCTGGGGGCACGGCGAGTTCGAGCAGTCGGCGTGGATGTACGCGGCCGTTGCTCGCTTGCCTTTGGCCATCAGCACTTTCGCCTCGAAAGTGGAACTTGAGGCCATTTTCGGCACTAAACTGTCATCACATTAACAATTTCACTGCACCATCAACTTCACTTTTGCACAGCACACTCGACACATTACCGCACGCGGGCGACTCAACTCCATCAAATGCGACGATTTCAGCAGATTTAACGCGATTTCACACGGATTTATCAACCGGACAAGTTGGGAACTCGCGTAAAATGAAACGGACTGATTCTCGAACGCGACCTCGCTCAGGTTGTCTCACTTGCGCGACGTATGTCGGCAAATAACTCCAACAGTCATAGAACTCGGAAAACACGCCAAAAACAACTCTATTCACCACTCAAATAAGAATTTTCTATGCGAGGTTAACGCTTCACCACCATGACACCTGAAGTTTCAACAACGACCACCAACCTAACGACGCGAAATCCCACACCAAAACCAAACAACAATAATTTTTACGCAACGCAAAACCGAAATTTCACACCCAACACCTCAACATTGACAAACACAACGAACAAATCACAAATTCACCCATTATTCACCCCAATTCGGACACGAATTACAAGACTTGACACACAAAATCACTAAAAGTAGCGGTACCAACCCACGTGTCTTCACACAAAATTCAAATAAAAAATTATTCACGACAAAAACCGATCTCACACACCGTCCTTTACAAAATTTTACATCTATTCGCAACAATAAAGCAAAAAAATCAGCAATTTTGCCCAAAACCCAGTAAATAACTAATTACATTTTGCCCGGTTGGTACACCTAGTCTCAATTGTCAATAGAAAGTAAAAAGTTCAATTTTTTGTTCAATTGTGCGTTTTTCCACTCAACCCTCGAATAATGTCAGATTGTGAGGCCCCTGAGGCCCCCGAAGACGACAAACCCGTCACTTGGTCCGATTTGGTAAGCCCCACCACGTGTTATTACATAACCTCATTTTCCTTTCAGGGCCTTGTCGATGTGCTTTGCAAGGCTTGTGAGCAACTCAAATGGGCCCAACCGTCCAAAATCCAGAGAGAGGCCATTCCTGTGGCCCTCCAAGGCAAAGACGTGATCGGACTTGCCGAAACCGGCTCTGGAAAAACCGCAGCTTTCGCCTTGCCTATCCTGCAAACCCTCCTCGAAAACCCCCAACGGTACTTTGCGTTGATTTTAACACCAACCCGGGAATTGGCGTTTCAGATTTCGGAGCAGTTTGAGGCTTTGGGGGCTAATATCGGGGTTAAATGTGCTGTGATAGTCGGGGGGATGGATATGATGTCCCAGGCGTTGATTTTGGCCAAGAAGCCCCACATTTTGATCGCGACGCCCGGGAGGCTCTTGGACCACCTCGAAAACACTAAAGGATTCAATTTGAAAGCGTTGAAATATCTCGTCATGGACGAAGCCGACAGGATTTTAAACATGGATTTTGAAGTGGAAGTTGATAAAATCCTGAAAGTGATACCAAGAGAAAGACACACGTTTTTGTTCTCTGCGACGATGACGAAAAAAGTGAAAAAACTACAGAGGGCTTGTCTCAGAGACCCCGTCAAGGTTGAAGTCTCAACTAAGTATCAAACTGTTGAAAAATTGCAACAATATTACATTTTTATCCCCGTCAAGTTTAAAGTACGTCCAGTGTGACAATTAATCGATTTAATGATTTTTTTATTGTGATTACAGGATGTTTACCTTGTCCATATTTTAAATGAAATGGCAGGGAATAGTTTCATGATTTTTTGTTCAACTTGCAACAATACAATCAGAACGGCGCTACTACTGCGCAATTTGGGGCTCACGGCGGTCCCCCTTCATGGGCAAATGTCGCAAAATAAGCGCTTGGCAGCATTGACGAAATTCAAAGCCAAGAATCGCTCAATTCTGATATCGACAGACGTTGCCAGCAGGTAAACCAAATTATTTTTTCTTAGGTTGGTACCATTGTGCAGTGTTGCCAGACGCACTGCCTCCACAATCGGTAAATATGAAATTTTTGCTCAGTCAAGCAAACATTTTTCTTATTTATTTTAAGTTGTCAAGTTTTTATTATAATTATCGCAAAAAAACATTTTTTCCAACACTACATACAAAAAAGAAAAAACAGGACGTAAATTAATAATAAAAAAATACCTATTAAAAATATAAAATAAACACTAAATACAATATACTTGAGTTTATTAAAATAAAATATTTCTAAGTCGGAAAAATTAAATATCTAGTTGTAACATGATTATCTTATTCTTTTTTGACCTCTTTATACGAATTAATCTTTTAATTTCAAAATTAAAATTTTTTCAAATAAATGTGTACCCCAGGTAGCAAAAAATAATTAAAATTAACAGTAATTAACATAGGGTAGCAAACATAAAATTTTTTGTCATTAGTCATGTGATTAATTTTATTCTGAATGACACTTTTTGTGTGAATAGGCTTTTAATTTAAAGATGCATTTCGACTTCCACAACATACTTGATGCACATTAACAGTAGAATCTAGTTTGTCTCTTTGGTTTGTTTTTATTAAATTAATTAAAGACAATATTCTCTCTACGTTAGCAGAAAAATGAAGTAATATTAATAAATTGATTAAAATGCTAAATAAAGGTGTTTTGAGGTTAAGAATCACAATCATTTAGAGTCACCCTGTACCTAACTTTATTATTTTGAACCTAAAAAAATTAATTGCGTTTGTAATTCGCATGGTTTTCGTATTGTTTGAAGGATAAGCGATGAAGACGTAGAGTGAAAACTCATCAAATACAGGGTGTTTCATAACTCACGCCCCAAAGGAAAAATGCTGGGTAATATGAGATATCAGAAACATGGAAAAAATGTTTAAAAATGCTATCTATAAAAATTTCTAAGTTATGAGAGTTTAAATTTTGCACTTTGACTATTTATTTTTGTTGGAAAAATAATTTTTCAAGTTTTTTTGCTACAGGCTATTAGTAGGAAACAAATTGTAACTCTGTTTAATGTTATTTGTGACTTTTATTATCAAAATTTTTGTACCTTTACTAAACATGAAATTATAAAAAAAAATATTCAAGATCATCAGTAACATTAAATAGACATAAAAAATGTCAAATGTCCACAAATAAATGTCAAAATTTTATTATAAAAACAAAATTGCTTAAAATGCAAAATAGAGGTGTTTTGAGGACAATCATTTAGAGTCTCTCTGTACTTAACTTCATTATTTTGAACGTAAAAAAAATTATTGCGTTTGTAATTCGCATGGTTTGCGTGTTATTTTAAGGATAAATAATGAAGACGTAGAGTAAAAATTCACCAAATATTTCTATTAAAACTGCTGTTTTACATTTTTTTTTACAAATGTTCACTTTTCGGTGGAATCCGAAAAATCGGTGCTTGTTACATGATGCAAAACAAATAGTCGATGATTTTTCAATGATTTTAAATAAAATTCGTGATGTAATACAAAAAAAAACCCAAGGAAAAAAATTAAGTGTCAAAGTCTGTAATTTTGCTTATTTTCAGAGGATTGGACATTCCGCACGTCGATGTGGTCATAAATTTCGACATTCCGACCCATAGCAAGGATTATATCCATCGGGTGGGGCGCACGGCTAGGGCCGGGCGCTCAGGGAAAGCAATCACGTTCGTGACACAGGTAATAGCCCCCTAAAAATTCTCAAAATTGATTAATTGTTCTAGTATGACGTCGAGTTGTACCAAAGGATAGAACAATTGATAGGGAAGCAATTGCCACTGTATAAAACCGAAGAAGACGAAGTTATGGTCTTGCAAGAGAGGGTGGCGGAGTCTCAAAGGCTTGCAAAAATGGTATTTGCGCCCTCTTGAATTCTGTGTTTTTTATGTTTATCTTCTAGGAAATGAAAGATTTGACTGAGAAGAAAGGTAAGAGGAAGAAGAATGATGGTGGGGGCGACGATGACGACACTGAGGGGGCCACCGGTGTGCGAAAGCGTCTCAAAGGGGTGAAGAAAGGTAACAAGAAGAAATAAAAATTTGACATGTTCTTTGGCGTTTTATTTATACACAAATGAGTAGAAAAACTAAAACTTAAACTCTGTTTTAGTTTCGTTATAAAGTTCGAGGGAATCGTTGAAGATTTCTTCGTGTTTAACATTTTTGTAAATGATCTGACAGTCGTCTAAATTTCCACCACCACAAATATTCTGACACGTGTTGACAATGTGAGTGGAGAGATACGACTTGGGCAGGGCGTAAATAACGTCGTCTTTTTTATGAAAACATTTCAAATCGGTGTAATTGTGCGACGTGTAGGAGCACAAAGTTTGGAATTTCTCGATTTCCAGCGAATCGGGGGTCATGCTGACACACAAAGAGTCATCTTTGCTGTAAAAAAAATGTCACATTTTGTTCCAAAACTTTTTCTCTTACTTGTCAGTGATCGTGGGTGGCAATACTGGTCCGAAAAACCGGGTCACGGGGATGACATCGGTATTTTCGGGCTTTTCCGGGGCTTGGACCGGTTTAAGGGGGCGCGGGATGTCGTAGTCCGGCTCTGATAACCTTCTCTGTCGCACAGGGAGGAGTTTCAGCCACTACAAAGAAAATTATTTTTTTCGGGTTGTAGAAAAAATTACGTAGTTACGTCTTCATCGGTGAGATTCGGGTTGACGAGACTTGTGGTCACTCCAGGGGTCATAATCGGGGCCGAAGTGACTTTTGCAAGCTCATCCAATAGTGAATTAAGATCGTCAGAGTGTCGATAAGCAGATTTGTCATGTTTTCGTAAAATTACTTCCGGTTCCGAGTCGCTAAATTTCTCGATTAGGAGTTGCACTTTGCCTTTAGATTCGAGCTTTTCTCGGTCTAAATCTTCAAGGATTTCGTCGAGACTTCGAAATTGTTCGGGGGGGTGGGTCTTGGGGGGCAGTTTTGGGGCTTCTTCTACAAAACAGTCATTTAGAACGAGAAAATTTCATAAAAGAGCCCCAGAAAGCGTAGCGGAAAAGCAGAGAAAGCATGCAAGGCAGTAAAGAGAGGAAAATAGACCTGAGAGTGCCACTAGTGTGGAAAAATTCTAAGATCAACACCTGGCTTTGTTGTTGATTCCGAGGCTTCGTTTGGCGAGTCGTTTGAGGCCTTGGCCTGAAATTTGGGCGTAGAAAAATCGGAAACTTGGTTAATATACACTGTGTCCCAAAGAGTTGGGAAAGTCCATTTTTGACCATTAAATGTTAAATACTGATGTTTTTTAGCAAAACTTTAATGGGTCGATTTTGCTTAGTTCTTGAAATAATTTAATTTCTTTGACAAAAACACATACTTTTTAAGAATTTATTACACCAAAATTAAAAATAATAACAAAAATAAATTAAATTGATTCATCTCAAAAGAAGAAAGTATGATTTTTAGTGCTTTAACATTTTTATAGCTTTTAAAAGTTGAACATCTTAAAAATTTTAAATCGAACACTTTATTATTTTATTTTTGCATCTAAAAGACTCTGAAATTATCTTTCTAAAAACATAAATACTTAAGAGTCTCTTACTGATTACAATAAAGATATGTAACTTTACACATTAAACAAATATCACCATTGTTTCAGTAATCGAAAAGCGAAATTTTCAGCTAAGAATAGCATTCATGCTACGCCATTATTCGTCATTTAATAGTTTGAAGTTAAAACTTATTTCATCAAATGGTGAAAATCTTAATTTTCTAGGATTCTTAGTTTTTGTGTAATACATTTTTTTGTCAAAAAGCAAAATCGACCGATAATTCAAAGCTACGTCCAAAAATGCGATAAAATATAGGGTATTTCATTTAAAAAAACATAAGTTTGTAACTCATTTCTGAAACACCCTGTAGACTTGAAAATAATTTTAGGTGATGCAGTGGGTTAATATCTCAATTGTTTATGTAAATGTTTAAACATTTCAAAGTAAAGAATGGACTTTTCCAACTCGTTGGGATACTCTGTATATACAGGGAGTAACGAAAAGATGGGGACAAAGATTAACCCGAGATTCCCCATCTTTTAAAAGTTAGAGGACGCTATTTAAATTACGAATTTTTTGTTTAAATTAATAATTAATTACTTGATTATTAACTAACACAAACATACATAAAAAAACTAAATCCTAAAAATTTTGACACGTCCATTTTGACACGTCTACTTTATTATTTTTTTACTCTAAAACCAAGGCCGATACAAAAATTTTATAAGATACCAAAATTGTTTAAAAATAGTGTACCTTTCGAATAAAAAAAGAATTACGCCATTCGGATTACATATAACAAAACTAGCTTAAAATGTATTAAGTTTTAATAGGTAAGTACTTTACAATAACAATAAAATAAAAAAAATAGCACCAAAATATGTGGTTTTGATATAAAATTGCCTGCACTAAATTACATAAAAATCGATTACTCCATTAAAAATTTATTAAAGAAAAACGAAAATAATTTTTAAAATTTGGTGCCCCCTAAGTTTTAAACGGTCCAACTTGGTATACAGGGTGTTAAAAAAGATTGTAAAATATTTAAGGAGGTAATAGTATGAATCAAAATAAACAAAAAAGTCTTGATAAACATGGGTCCGCAAAGTAACGGTTTTGTAGATACCGAATGTGAATTTTTTTTAAATCTTTATTAGAAGCTTCTCTTTTTTGCTGCAAATAATTTTCGATATCTCCGAAACTGTTTATTAAGAATTTTTTGTTTGTTTTGGTTCATATTATTACAAGACCCTGTAGAGATACGTTGATTTTAATCGCTTTATTTTGACCTGGAAAGTCTTAGGTTACTCTTTGTCCCCATCTTTTCGTTACACCTTGTATATTTTTTTATTTCAAACTTGGTTATAGTGGGATAAAAGTCAAAAGTACACCTGGACATGTAGATGATCAAAATGAGTCTAATCTTTTTTTTTTTTTTTTGAAGTTGACAAAGCAGTGCCGTGCAAAACAGAACTAAATTTTGTTGTAAGCGACCCCAATTTCATTCAGCAAATCACTTTGTTACGCCACTGCTTTGTTTCCCCTCAAAGTTGTCCCAGGTGTGTACTTTTGCCTTTTTGATACCTCTAAAACTCACCCTCAATTGTGCCTTTTTATTTTCTAAAATATTGTGGAGTTCTGACAACATTTGAATAGCACTTCCGTCACCCATTTCGACTTTGTTAACGGAAGTGGTGTCAACCTCGGCGTAGATTTCCTCCTCAACTTTTTTCTCGTCTTGTTTTCGGTGTTTTTTCTTCCAAACTCGTCGAATGAAACTTTTCGTTTTTTTAATTTTCTCCTTTTGCTTGTCTTCAACCGAACCTTGACTAGAACTCTTCAAAACTGGCTCACTGTAAGGATTATACTCATCCAAATCTTCGTAAATATTGTCATTAGTGTGTCCCAAAATGTCGCTTCTAGCATAAAAAGTGTTCTCAACAAGAAGACTATTTTTATTACAGTCAATAATAGGAGTAATTTTGGGCTCAGCGTAGACAACTTCATCACTTTGCACATGTCTTGTGCTTGCATATTGGTCATTTTCCACCAATAAACTTTTGGTTTCCCTCGCCGGAGCCCCCTTGTCTCTTTCCTCACTCACACTCAAGCCTCTCCTCAACGGAACACTGTATTTCTCACTCCCTTCCGAATATTGCGACTCCCCGGAAATCCTCTCGTAGATATTTTCCTCTTTTTGGGGTCGAACTTCCTCCTCATCCGCCTCGTTGAAAAGACAGCTGGGTAACGACCCCTGAGACGCATTTTTCGCCTTCTCCTCCTCCTTTCCAACTTTTTTCGTCGCTATTTTACTAATTGCACCCAGACTGCCACCGTAGCTCTGCGCCCCCAATTTCTGTAACCGCTGAATTATCTCACTGCTTTTTTTGGGTTCGAGTTTTAGTCGATGAGGGAGTGTGTTTTGGCGTTCGAGGGGCGTTTGGGGGTCGTTGGGCTCCACTTGAGGGAATAACTCGTCGAGGGAGTAGCGGAAATGACTCAGTCTTTTGGGACTTTCGGTGGGGAAATTTTGGTTCTGGTTAAGGACGGCCAGGATGGCTTGCATCCACTTTTTCTGGTCGTCGGAGTTGTCCGCTTTCTAAAATTTTCATAAATTGTTTTTTTTTAGTGATTTTTCGAGACAAATTTTTGTTTTACTCAACTACAAAACAGCGCGTTTTTTGTAATTACAGTTAAACATCAATTCAGCGACCTTTTAGCACTGTAGAAATATGAAAAATTTACTTTTCTGTGTTTGATTTCAAAATATAAACAAAATTTAATGTCCTTTGTGATTTAGCGTTTTATCACCGAAAACTGGTATTTTTTTACGATAAATTTTAGTTTTAGTTTCGTTTTTTTTTGTAACCACAATCAAACATCGATTCAGCGACTCATAAACATTAGAAATTTGGAAAACACTCATTTGTGTTCAATTTCAACTTTCCGCAAAATTTAAAGCCCTTCATATGTTTTTCTATTTTTCTTTAAATTATTAGCATAAGCTTGGGATATTTACCAAATGTAGAAATTTTTCGAAACAAATTTTAGTTTTAATCAACTCCAAATCAGCTAGTTTTTTGTAATTACAGTCAAACATCGATTTTTTTGTGTTCGACTTCAAAATATAAACAAAATTTAAAGCCCCTTATGTCATTTTCTTAAAATTTCGTTTTTATTTAAATATGCTTGGAATATTTAGCGTTTTATCACCAAAATCTGGTAATTTTTTACAATAAATTTTAGTTTTAGTTTCGGTTTTTTTTGTAACTACAGCCAGACATCGATGCAGCGACCTTTAACACTTGAAATTTAAAAAAATTACTTATTTATGTTCGATTTCAGACTTTCCTCAAAGTATAAGCAAAATTTAAAGCCTTATTTCTTGTCATTTTTGAATAACCTATGTAAAAATTCGTGTTTTTCTATTTTTCTTTAAATTATTATTAAATATACTTGGGAGATTTAGCGTTTTATTATCGAAATCTGGTAATTTTTTACGATAAATTTTATTCTCGTTTTTTTAGTCAAACATCGATTCAGCGATCCTTTAGCATTGCAAAATTCCAAAAATTCACGCCTTTGTGTTCAATTTCAAAATATAAAGCCATTCAAAGCCTTATGTCATTTTCTTATTAATTTGGTAAAATTTAGTTTTTATTAAAAATGCTTGGGATATTTAGCGTTTTATTTCCGAAATTTGGTAATTTTTCACGATTCATTTTAGTTTCAGTTTAGTTTTTCAGACAAATTTTAATTTTAATCAACCCCAAAACAGCTACTGTTCCAATTTTTTGTAATAACAGTCAAACATCGATTCAGCGGCCATTTAGCACTACAGAAATTTAAAAAAATTACTCATTTGCGTTAGATTTCAGACTTGTCGCAAAATATAAGCTAAATTTAAAGTCCCTCATGTCATTTTCTTATTGTCCTGTGTAAAAATTCATGTTTTTCTTTAAATTGTTACTAAATATGTTTGAGATATTTAGCGTTTTTCAATCAACTAATTTGAGACTCTGAAAACAGCTGCAGGATTCATGTTTTTCAGTAATTACAGTCAAACGTCGATTCACCGACTCCGTTATTTGAAATAAAGGTCTAATTATTTGGAAAAAAACACAAACTAAACAAAGATTCCACATTTTTTGAATGTTTTTTATAACATTGACATTGGTAAAATTCTCAAAAATACTAATGTTGTCAACCTAGATATTATTTTTAGAGGCTAATTTGTCAATGTTGGCAGTATTGCAGAATTCAAATTATTTAATATTTCCAGTTCAACTTTTACCGTTGTAGAAATTTACAAAAAATTCTCATTTTTGTTCGGTTTCAAAATATAAACACAATTTTTTATGTCATTTTCTTATTTATTTGGTAAAAACTCTTGTTTCTCTTTAAATTTTTAATATGCTTGAGATGTTTAGTGTTTCATTACCGAAATTTTGACGTTTTTTACAAAAAAATGTAGTTTCGTTTTTTTTTGTAATTACAGTCAACCCTCGATTTCAAAATATAAACAAAATTTAGAGCATTTCACCTCATTTTCTTATTGTTTTATCTAAAAATTCGTGTTTTTCTGTTTTTTTTAAATTTTGCTTGAGTTATTTCGTATCTTTTTTCTAGAATCTTTTTTCAGAATTACTGTCAAACACACGTGTTATTCTTTTATTTGAAACAAAGGTCTTATTATTTGGAAAAAAAAAACAATTAAAAAAATTCAATGTTGTTTTTCATCAATTTGACGTAAAATTAGTTGGTGAAATATTTCTAAAATACAAATTTGTCAATCTGGATAATATTTTTGTCAATGTTGGCAGTCTTGCAGAATTCAAAGTATTTCTGATTTCCAGTCTAACAATGTTGATATAAAAATTGCAAAACAAATACCAGGAAAGAATTGTTTTAAATAATTTATTTTTGCATTTATTACGGATTTATAGTGGAATTTTATTCAAATTGTTATTTAAATCGTTACGGTTTTTCGAAGTAATTTACATAATAATATCTCTAAAATCAGCGTTATGCAATTATGAATAAATTTTATTTTACTACGTAATGCATTGGCAGGGATGAAAACCCTAACTTATGTCACAAACTTAAAAATAATTTTTTCGCTACCTTTGATAAGAGGATTATAAACAATGAAAAATGAGATCATTTCTCACTTATCTCGACCTTGTTTATAGACCGATTACGAGCTGTTAAATAGGAAATTTGTTCAAATCACAACACATTCTCACATTAAATCATCAAGGCTGAGAAAAACGGAAAAAACGCTTACCAATGTGTAGGTCAAACTTCGTGTTTCGACTTGAAACGAATTCGCCACCGAGGGCAAAGACTTGACCATACAGGGCGGCCCTAAATTAATCGATCCCTTGCAGGGCGAAATGGTCTCATACTCGGCCTTCGACCTGTAATAAAGCAACAATCTGTCCTCCAACACGAACCAGTAATTCCTCCATGACGATATCATGCGCTAGAAAACCGCAATAAATTCGGGAAAAAATCAAAAAATTGTACCTTTTTCGTCTTCAAGTGGAGATATCCGGACATCCGCACTTTGACTCCATTGTCCATGATTGGCCTGAAACACGTCACGTGGTCACAATAGCCAACTTTTGGCACTCTTGGCTTTTTTACTTCCAACGCCGGCCGAGATAAGATAAAATATGACACGCCCGAGATAAATTTTAAAATTCACAACTTTCCCGAATTAGAAACAATGAGATTAAAAGCGAGTAGAAAGCAAATTAATTGGACGTGTTGAGTGGATTTTTCGCGCTGAATGCCTCCGGAAAAAGTGTGAAGGTATTAATTACCCAAATCAGGGATTTTTCATTTGTTATCTTCCTCCCGAAGACACACAAAGTGAAAGAAGTGGAGAGTTGTGCACAAATCAAAATTAAGTGAAACGCGGAGTGGCATCGCAAGTGCAACAATGATCAGACATTCACTTATTTAATCAATAAAAATTCTTAATTTAATTTTTGACGCTCTAGAAATGTCAATTTCACTTTTTCAACTGTTATTTTGACAACACTGCAAGTGTTTGAAGGGGATAAAACTGTTGTAAATGCATTCATTTATGTACAAGTAGCATAACAAAAACAAGTAAAAGTAAATAGAGCAACAAAAGTATGTACAACATTTCCAATTCGAAAAATTTCTAATCGATACAGAGGCACCGGAGCGGTTAAATCATTGTTACAGCCCTTCATGTGCGTGACTTACCCCCAAAGAATTTAATTTAATTTAGTAAATAGAAAAATTGTGCAGCGATAAGCGAGGTGTGGGTGTTTACAAAACATCACAAACAAAACAATTACGACAACAGTACTTTGGGGACACTCACCTGAAGTGTGACACTCTCGCCGCTCACATTCTCAGTATGATTTGAAAAAGGCGCATCTTTTACGCGGAATAAAAGCGAGCGCACAGTCAGCAAGCAAGGCTATGTCGCGGTCTTTTGCCAGTCGGACCCTGCGGAAGTAAAACTTCCGTTGCGATAGTTGCGTGTTTATGGTGTGGAATTGTTGCGTATCTGGAGCACTCCCTCTCGGGCCAAGCCCCGGAGGATAGGCAACCAAAACGATGACACGATTTGGGGGAAAACCCACGTCGAATTGTTCGTTGCATAACTTTGCGTATTAAATTGTCAAATGTAGTAACAATAAACTATAAGATAAATTGCTAGCTGAGCTAAATAATTAACTTTTGTTTGACTAATTTATTAATTAAGAAAAATACAGTAAAATGGGCAGGCAACCAACAATGCAAAAAGATAATTCATGAAATATTTTCACTTGGCCTATTTGAAATATGTATAGGGTGGCATCGTTATCGGTGCTTAAAAGCATTTTCGACCAAATGTTGTAATTTCTTGGCTTATTTTTGTCTTAATTTTGCTGAAAAACCAGTTAAAGCGAGCAAAACAAATAAAAAAACTTCAATATTAATTCTTTTTGTGGTTTTTTGGTATGTTTAGACAAAATTTAACAAAATAAATGACCCTCTAGTCAAAAACGAACTAAATCGAGTAAAACAAGCTAAAAAATAACACCAATTTCGGTTTAGTTGTGTAATTTTTCAGCCTGTTTAAACAAAATTTTATCATAAAATTCTTAATTTTATCTCAAAACGTGCTTAAACACTCAAAAAAGGCAAATAATACCATTTTTTGGCTTATTTTTAATAAAATTCAGCTAGAAACGCAATTATTTCCCAAAATTTCATTAAAAACAAGCCAATAATTCAACTAAATAGGAAAAAATAGTTTTTGAGATTAAAGCGAAATAAACCGTTTCTAGGAAAATCCTGCTACTACACATGAGAAATATAAAAATAATATAATTTTCGATTTAATTTTAGTCTCTTTGACTTATTTACTGAAATCTCGCGAACAATTGAGTTGATTTGGGTAAAAAAATATGTTTTTTTTATGATTTTTGACTCACTTAAACTCTTAAAAAAGGCACAAATTCCATCGTTTTCGGCTTTATTGTGTTTTTTTGCTTTGTTTTTTAAAAAAATTGTAGCTAAAAAACCTGCTTAAACACACGAGAAAAACGTGAGATTTCTCTTTTCTCTTAAATAAAAAATTAAAAGTTCCGAAAACCGATAAAAATTTTGCAAAAAATGGAAAAAATTAAAAACTTAATTGCGGAGTGCAGGAGGCCCAGAAAAGTGTTGTAGACACGCGAGAAATATATTTTTGAAAAATTTTTGCTTATGTATGAATATATTGGATTAGAATTAAGAAAGAGTATAAGAGCACAAAAAAGTATGAGCTTTTTTATATTTACCACGAATTTTTTGAATTTTCTAGCTCAAATGAGGGTGAAAAAAGATCGTCGCATTACCAAACTTGTGAGAACATGCGTGTTTGTTAGTGGTTTCAGATGAATTGTTGGTTGCATAACTTTATACTAAATTTCACATGTAATAACAATAATTAATATTTTTTTTATTGCTGATGAAGCAAAATAATTGACTTTAATTTAACGAATTTATCAAACAAAAAAAATTACAGTGGAACAGGTATGCAACCAACAATACAACATTTAACTTGACTTATTTGAAATCTTCAAACGTATACATCAAGTCGCACCATTGCCGGTGCATTTTAATGTCAATTAGATCAGAAATAAATACTTGACTGTTTTTTTTTATTATTATTGCTAGTTGAGCAAGCAGATTACTAAATTAGTGAAAGTATTCCATGAACGTATTGCTTGTTAGTGATTCCGTTTTTTACCTAACGCGATGTTGGCACAATTGTTACATAACCTCACTTTAAATTTAAATTTGTCGGTTATTTTTTTCGAAAAATCGCTTAAATAAAATGAAACCCCTCAATGTTGAGATTATTTTAAAGACTCAAAGGTTTAGTGCATCAATTCGCATCGATATTTTTAATAATTAATCACTTTGCAGCCACATTTCTCGATCTTCAATAACTTCAATAACTCGGCATTATTTGGAGAGTACCAAAATACGAAGTAACACAGTAATTACGCAATTTGATAATGAGCACCACCCCATACTTCATTCGGAAGCTAAAGCGATAATTATTGAGGAAATCCCCGATCTTGTATGTCCTTACAAAATGTAAACAATTATGAAAATGTTATTTTAGGAGGGCTTTATCAACTTTAGTCAATACGAAATAAATTGGTACGTGTACACTCTTGATATTAACGGCCCCGTGTGCCAGATTGAGGAAGGGGATGGCGAAGGCGAAGGCCAGTTAAATATCGCCACTCACTTGATGCTCCCCTCAGCACACGTTTACAACTTGTGGGAAAATCTCTACTACGATAACAACATCAAGCAAAACGTGTGCCCATTTCTGTGACATTTTTTTATTGTTTGAGTAATTTTTAGTTGCTTAAATACGCCCAAACAATGATGGAATTCTCAGACCGTGGCGTTGACACAAACATCGTGAATTGCAACCGCGTTATTCTCCTCCACGGGCCCCCAGGAACGGGCAAAACGTCCCTTTGCAAAGCCCTAGCCCACAAATTATCCATTCGCATGCAAGAACGCTACACCTCTGGCGTTCTAATCGAAATCAACAGTCACAGTTTATTCTCCAAGTGGTTCTCCGAGAGTGGCAAATTAGTGACTAAAATGTTCTCAAAAATAATCGAAATTGTAGAAAATTCAAATTTGTTAGTTTGTGTTTTAATTGATGAAATCGAGTCGCTTGCGCATGCGCGAAACCAATGCGTTTCTGGTATAGTATGCCATGACTTGACTGAATCATATACAGGGTGTTTGTAGGAAACGAACCGTCGGATTCGATCCGTGTTGTCAATGCAGTTTTGACACAAATCGATCGCATCAAACGATACTCAAATGTTTTAATTTTAACAACTTCGAATATTACGGAATCAATCGACTTGGCATTTATTGATAGGGCTGATATTAAACAATACTTGGGGTTACCAACCCCCACCGCCATTTGCAAAGTGTACCACTCGTGTATCGAAGAATTAATAAAAGTAAGTGACTTGGGTGAATTTCAGTCACTTGATTTTTTTTTTTTTTTTCAGGCACAAGTTATTAAATGTGATGAGGTGGAAAGTAACAACAAGGAGAAATTATGGGAAATATGCGAGAAAAGTCAAGGTTTGAGTGGACGATCCTTGAGGAAGATTCCCTTCATCGCGCATGCGCTTTACCTGGAGGGGAGTTCCATCGATTTGGGGAAATTTCTCGCCGCCATGTTGTCAGCAATCGAACGGGAAAAGAAGGAACGTCAATATTTCGAAAAATAATAACTTGTTGTGGTAGAAAAAATATACAATTGCTTTCGTGACTTCAAATTGTTATATGTTTCATTAGAACGTTCCTCGCCGCTATGAAATTGCCACTATTTTTGTAAATTAAGTGCAGATTAAACGCCGCTTCGTGTCTCAACCCCAAAACCTCGCAAGGGGGTTTCTCCTCGATCTCCAAAACCTTCAAATAGTAGTTTTCGGCCAAATACATGACCCCTAATTGGTGGTACATCCGTCCCAGATTGTAGTAAATTTCCTGTTGGGCGTCTCCACTCCGATTTTTCGCATAGAAAATGAAGAGATATGAGGCGATTTCGGCGAGTTTTTTTCGGTCTTCGACCGTTTTTCGCTTGCTGTAACCTTGTAGTAAAATCACGCCTAAGATTAGAGCAAAGTACGGGAGTTTGTGTTTGCGGAACTCTCGCATGTAGAATTTTATAGCGAGATTGGAGTTGGTGGTGAGACTGTAGTTGGCTTCGATGGCTTGGAGACAATCTATGTCGGGGACGCGTTCTTGGAGACGGGAGATAAAACGGTTGTGGCGGACGTCATCGGTGCTCTTGAGGACGATGTTGAAGAGGTTCCAGGCGAGGGTGTTGTGGCGGTCGTTCAACACCACGTTGCGGATGAGGTTGTAGCCGTGGAAGGTGTCGTTGTTGTAGATGGCGGAGAAGAGGGCGAAAAGCTGGATTTCTTCTGAAAATAATTACAGACAAAAAATTAACTGACAACAACTCGAAATTCCCCAACAAATTTACACTTATTTCAAGATTACGGTATAAATCTTTAAAAAAAAACAATTTAGTGATTTTTGACTCAAAATCAAGCAAAAAAACTGAGTTTTCAGTATGAAAAATACAAAAATGACAATATTTTCGGGTTATTTGTGTGATTTTGTAAATTGTTTATAACGAAATTTTTCGTTTCTGGCTGAAAAACGTGCTGAAACGCCCAAAAAATGCAATTTTCAACTTAATTTATGGACTTTTTGGTTTGTTATAGCGAAATCTCGCGAAAAACTGAGATTATAGTACAAATGCGTGCTCTTAAGCATTTTCGACCAAATTTTGTCATTTCTTGGTTTATTTTTGTCTTAATTTTGCTGAAAAACCTGTTAAATCGAGCAAAACAAATAAAATAACTTCAATAACAATTTTTTTGTGATTTTTTAGTATGTTTAGACAAAATTTTGCAAAATAAATGAGCCTCTAGTCAAAAAAAAAACTAAATCGAGTGAAACACGATAAAAAATAACATCAATTTTGGCTTAATTTTGTAATTTTTCAGCTTGTTTAAATAAAATTTTTCATAAAATTCTTGGTTTTATCTCAAAACGTGCTTAAACACTGAAAAAAGGCAAAAAAGTACCTTTTTGTTGAATATTTGGCTTGTTTTTTAATAAAATTTTGGAAAATAATTAACCTGCTTATAAATAAATAATAATTTATATATTTAATAAATAAACACACGAGAAATATAAAAATAATATAATTTTCGACTTAATTTGTTAACTTTTTGATTTGTTTAGAAAAATCTCGCGAACAGTAGGTTAAAAAAAAATATGATTTTTGAAACAAAATCTCGTCAAAAAAACAGTTTTCAGCTTAAAAATTTGTTTAAACTCTTAAAAGAGATAACAATTACATAATTTTCGACTTAATTATATTGTTTGGCCTATTTTCAAAGAAAATTTACAAAAAATTGCAATTCTAGCTTAAAAAAACCTGCTAAAACACATAATTATATAATTTTCGACTTAATTTGTGGACTTTTCAGTTTCTCGTGAAAAACCTGAGATTGTAGTACAAAAACGTCCTTTTAAGAATTTTCGATAAAATTTTGTGATTTTTTGGCTTATTTTTGTTTTAATTTTGCTCAAAAACGAGTTAAATCGAGCGAAATGAACGAAATAGCATCAATTTCAATTTTTTTGTTTTTACCTCAAAAACGTGGTTAAAAAGAACACCATTTTTGCCAAACTTGTTCAATTTTCGGTTTGTTTTTAGCGAAATAATTGTGATTCAAGATGAAAAAAAAGAAATAGTTATTTATTATACAAGACGATAAAATTGAATTTTATATTTGAGACGCCTCGACGCGAATATGCTCGAAAAGATAATGAAAATTTTATCGTCGTGTTCAATATAAAATTTTATTCAATCCTCACTAATTTTGTAGTCAATTTGGTCGATATTTATAAACGTCAAAGTAAAACTCAACAATAAAATCTAATATCAAAGATCGTTAGTAACTAACAACCGCAGATAAACAACAATGGATGTATTTTGTATCATCCAGACGATAAAATTTCATCTTAATATGAAGAAAAGAATAGATAAAATTCAATTTTAACATAGGGGATTGTATAAAAGTAATTTTTTTTTTTTAACAACTAGTTTTAACTAACTTGTGTTTTTTTTTGCTTTATTTTCGAGAAAATTTGACAAAGTAATTGAAAAACGTGCAAGATGCTCGAAAAAGACCTAATTTTCTATACCAATTGAAAACGAATGTTTTGGTTTATTCGTTTACAAAAAAATCACCAAACCTGGCAATACTGCCCAAACTAGTGTATTTAACGTCAACGGTTGGCATCCCAGGGAATTAAGAGCAATGTTGCCGGTTTTAAAGCCCACTTACTGGCATACTCCGTCAACCTCTTGGACGTCAACCCCATGAAGGCGAACTTCTGCAACTGCGCATACTCCCTCCTCTCCAAGGCAAACCTCAAAACCCCCTTGTATACCTCAAACTCGGCCTGGACACTGGGTTCCCTGATACTCTCAAACCCGGACTCGACCGGCATGGAATCCCCCCGAAACCTCCTCAAATCCCTAATCTTCCTCACTTTCTCATTGACAGTATGCGAGGTTGTGATCACAACTCGCGCCTCTTCCGGGTACTTCACCGCGACACAATGTCTGGAAAGGAGCAACTCAGCGCATTTCCAGTACTCCTCAATATCGTCAATCTGCCTCAAAAGCTTCATCCTCTCGATGAGGACGGCGACATCGAGCTTATTCGTCGACAAATCCTGCGAGAGGACCTCCAAAGCCTCGGACTTCTTATTCAGTTTGAGGAGGGTCATGGCCAGGGGGTAGAGCACTTCGACGTGTTGGGGGGCCATCGTCATGACTGTGAAGTAGGCCTCCACGGCCTGCTCCAACATGTCGCAATTGTAGAGACATTCGGCGTATTTGAGCCACACGGCGGCCAGGTTATAAGTGGTGCTTTTGACAAGGGGGACCAGGAGTTTCAGGGCTTCGGTGGACAAATCCGTGGCCATTAGGTCTTCAGCCACGTCCAAGTACAAATCCCCGATCTCCTCGACGTTCTCTTCGCGGATCATCGAGTCGATCAAAGGGGGCACCAAATGAAACGACTTCAGTTTAATCAAACACACGATAAACTTGACTTTTAAGTCGATTTGGATACTGGGGGGCATCACATACGAGTCAATCACGATTTTGTTGTTCTCATTCACAGTGATTTCAAATGTGAAATTGCAATGTTGAATAAAAATATCCAAACATTCGGTGAAACGCTCTGTGAGGAGGAGCAATTCGAGCATCATATTGACCAAATCCTGGGTCACCCTCTTGGGGATCCGCTTAAACGGGATTTTCAACACCTCCAAAGCCTTCGCGTAGTTCCGCTCCTCGTGGTAGTGCTTCGCCACCTCTTTGCACAACTCGATGATGTTCTGGTGCTGCGCCCTCGGGAGTTTATTCGCCATGTGTTTCTTGCACGCGAGGGCGAACCTCACGTCCCCAATCTGCTCCACGAGCTCCAACCGCTTCAGATGCAGCCCCATGTTGCGCGGACTGGCTCTGATAGCCCTCGAGTAGTACGAAACGGCCTCTTTGTACTTGCCGTTCTGGATGTTGAGCTCCGCTAACCGGCACCAAACCCCCGAATCGTGGGGGTACAAACAACTGGCGATTGCCAGGTACCCCTCGTACTTCGTCGGGTCGCTGTTTTCGAAAATCTGGGCTAGGGTCAAGTAGGGCTCGTAGGCGTCGGGGACTTGTCGCATCACTTCGAAACACATTTTCTGGGCCGTTTCGGTGTCCCCTCGAGCGTACCTGAGGTTGGCTTCGCCCATGAGGCCCTTGAGGTTGGCGTCGAGTTTTGAGACAAAGCGACGGGGGGCGCGAGTGGGGGCCCCATCGGATAACGATGAAGAGGAGTCGCTACAGTCGGAGTCGGAGAGGGGGGCACTGGTGGAGGGCTGCTCCTCATCAAAAGGCAAAATAAGGGTGTCTGGGGGAGTCTCGTCCATTATTATTTAGGTTATGTTTTTGACAATTGACAGAAATGCAGTATCCAGAAAAGTTACCAGATTTAAACTAGTGTTGGGCGATTATGAATGATATAATCGAAACATTTCGATTATGGCTGAATAATCGATCATTCGATTCTATTTTAAAAATCATTCGTTATTCAAATCATTCATTCCGATTCGTTCCGAATACTATCGACTCATATGATTCAAGTGATTATTCGATTGATCATTCGTTTCTCGAATACGAGAATCATAGCCAAATGACGAACGAAATATTCATGGGGAATAATCGAAGTGGTTAGTGAATTTCATTTGTTTTATGTTGGTGAGACTGGGATATTCAAGATTAAGTGACAGCAAAAGTGACAGGTATTGAAAAAATAATAATGTAAAACCATTACGTATAAAATTAAAAAATAATAACTACTTATTTATAATTTTTTTATTTATTCGTATTCAATTAGACTTCCCCATGCTCACCTAATACTGATTTCAAGTTAAGAAATCATTCAGCATTTTTTTTTATTATTTTTTAACCAATATCTTTAATTTTGACCTTTTTCTAAAAAACCTAGTGGGCGATTTATTTGCCCGCGACTACATGCGCATTGTGAAATCTTGAACAAGATGCGAGATATATTTCATTCATCATTCATATCTCGTGATGTGACGCATGCGCAATAAGGAAAAATCGATATTTCGAATGATTATTCGATTATTTTAAACGATTATTTCAATTCATTCGATTATGAAAATGTATCGATTATGCCCAACACTAATTTAAAACTATTTTCACTAAAGATTCACATTTTTTACATAAATCTCGTGAATCTGCGCAAAAACGTGATTCAGTGCTCGAAAAATTCAAAAATAGGTAATGCTATTTTATTTAGTCTAAATCTATAATTTTTTGGGTAGTTTTTAATTAATTTTTGCGAAATACGGGTGACAAAAAATCTTTTGGCCACACTGAATTAGTGGTAATCCTTCTAAATTTGTTATGTCGCGAATAAATGACAATTGCCTATAAAAGTTTGAAATTGAATTTGACAGTCAAGGTTGCCAAATTAAATTTTAAATTTAACACCAAATCATTTACAGTCACCCGATATTTACGCTTTTACTTGAAAAACATGCTAAAACATTTGATAAAGACAAAATTAATGACTTAATTTGATGTTTTTTTGGTTTGTTTTAGCAAGATTTTGTAATTAACACCATTTTCGACTATATTCTGCATTTTTCGTCATATCTTTTTGACAAAATTTTACTCAAAAAGAGCTAAATCGAATGAAACAAACAAAATAACATCAATTTGGATTTATTTTTGTTGTGTTTAAGCATGTTTTGACTATATCCTGCAAAATAAATGAGTCTCTGGTTCAAAAACGAACTAAACCGAGCGATACAAGCTAAAATAATATCAATTTCAATCTAATTTGGTATTTTTTCAGTCAGTTTTAGCAAAAATTTGAATTCATTCTAACAACGTCCTGAAACATTTTAAAAATGAAAAAATAACACTAATTTTGGCCTAATTTGATAAATTTTCGGTTTGTTTTAAACGAAATTTTGCAAAATATGTTTGTTTTTGGTTAAAAACATACTAAAACACTCAGAAATGGACAAAATAATGTAGTTATTTACCCATTTTAGCATTTTTTTTTACTTTGTTTAGTGAAATATCATTTAGAAAAACAAAGCTATTTCTCGATGTTTCAACTTGTTTTTGAGAAAATTTTCCATTCTAGTTTCTGCATGGCTAGAAAAACGTGCAATAATCTTAAAAAAAATACAACAAAAAATTGTGTAATTATTTTTGACAGAATTTACTACATCAATAATTAAAAAAATCAAATAAAAAAGTTAATTTTACTAACATTTAGGCGAATACTCGATTTAAAAAAATATTTCAAAATACATTAATTTTCTGCTGCAACTACAGTCACGTTTTTAAAAAATCATCACGAATTAAAATTTTTACAAAAGTTTTCACCAAATTATACTAATATAAAAATCACCAGAGCTGGTGAAATTTCACTAGACCTGGCAACACTGCAGAAATGTTATAACGAGTACACCACACGATAAAATTAATAACACGGGTACATCTATGAACAACTTTAATGTCATCATTGAAATAACAATGATGAAAACAAAAAAATGTCAATCGTTTTATTTCCTTGACTTCTACTAGTCCCTAAGTTCCCAAGTACCAAAATAGTTAACTTTTCACCTGATATGATAATCAATTGATTATCACACAATGATTTTTTTTTCAAAACACTCATACAATTCGCAACATGGCACGAGCATGTTTATTTGTCGTTTTCACGCTATTTCAGGCCGGTTTTTTGGTACGTGTTATTTTTTCTTTTAGGGTACTCTCTATTTTTTTTAGTTTGGGCCCCCTGAGGTGCAGCTTCCAACCGGGGTTATAAGGGGGCGTGAGGATACAACAGTGAACAATAAACAATACTTTGCTTTCGAGAAAATACCATATGCGGCTCCCCCTATTGGAGATTTGCGTTTTAAAGCCCCGGTACCACCCCCAAGTTGGGAGGACCCACTTGATACCCTCAATTTGGACGTTTCGTGTTACCAAGTTAGCGGGAATTCAGATGATGAGTCTGAGGATTGTCTTTACATCAATGTTTTTACGCCACAGGTTCGTTTTTTGTTGTTTGGTACCGTTTGTACCAAATTTTTTAGCTTCCAAGTGATGGTACCAATGCTAGTTTACCAGTCATGTTGTATATACATGGCGGAGGGTTTATGTTTGGTTCTGGTCGAAACACTTATTCCGATTATATCATCGAAGAAGATGTCATTTTTGCGACAATTAACTACAGATTGGGACCTTTTGGTACAAATTTTGGTACTAAAAACCAACAAATTAATTTTAATTACAAAATAGGTTTCTTGTCAACTGAGGACCACTACCTTCCTGGAAATAACGGTCTTAAAGACCAACACTTGGCCCTGAAATGGACCCATGACAACATACACTTGTTTGGAGGAGACCCTGATAAGATAACAATAATGGGGCAAAGTGCTGGGAGTGCGTCTGTTGCCTATCAGTTACTAAATCAAAAGTCTACAGGTTTATCACATTAGAAACACTTCAAATGAGTTTTAGAACGTTTTAGGATTGTTTCGAGGGGCCATTTTAGAAAGTGGTTCTTTTTTAAGTCCCTTTGCATTTCAAAGACGTGCAAGAGAAATTGCTTTTGCAACCGCAGCTTTTATCAACGATACTTTTGAAACAACAGAAAATTCAGAAGAATTGTTTGAATTTTTGAAAGGAGTTGATGCGAAAGACCTCGATTTGGCTTCACAGAAGTACCACGAATCGGTAATTGGTACCACTTTAGCAAATTAAAAAAATAAATAAAAATATGTAGGAAACGCTTGAAACGGCCCAAATTTTGACTGGGAGATATTATTCTCCCGTGATTGAAGAAAAAAATCCGGATGCTTTTCTTACGAAAAAAATGTACCGGTTGTTGAAAGCCGGAAATGTGGTTCGGGTACCAATCCTGATTGGGATTACTTCGGAAGAAGGACTTGTGTACAACTCTAGTACTATTTCATCACTTTAAAAAAAAAATGTATTATAAATTTTTTTTTAGATCAAGATATTTTAACACAAAACATGGCGGCTTTTGACGAAAATGTGTCGTGGTTGGTACCCAAAGACATGATGCTGATCGACGACGAACCTCTCCTCGCGATGGGAACCCAAATCAAGTCAATTTACGTCACTGGGAATTTAAGTGATCAGATTGGTGCCGGCGTCAGGGTGAGTACCCTAAGTGGTACCAAACCCAAAATCCCCCATTAGTATTACAGTGACCACTCTTTCACCCGATCTGTAATCAAAACCGCTGAACTTTACTCAAACTTCTCTGACACTTTCTTCTACCAATTCTCCTACGATGGCCCCCTTGGTGGTGTCAACATCCACTACGACGGGGCCGGAAATGTCGGTCATGCCGAAGAATTGAATTATCTGTTTTGTCGAGGTTCTGGGTGCAAACGTGACGATATTCCAGACTCGGATAAATTAACGCGACAAAGACTCATCAAACTTTGGACTAATTTTGCTAAATACCAGTAAGAATTAAGCAAAGACGTGACTTTTGGTAGCTTGGGTTTGCAGGAATCCGACACCGGAAGCCCACGAATTGTTGCAAAATGTGACTTGGCCCAAAGTCTCTACTGAAAGTGGCGATTTCCTGTATTTGGATATTGATGAAAATTTGGAAGTGAAGAACCACCCCAAGGAGGAGACTTATTCCAAATGGGTGGGGCTCTACGAGAGTCTTGGCTATGATAATTTTGATACATATTAATTGTAATTGTGTTATTAATTAAATAATAAAGATTTTATCAGTCTCATACACTATTTTTGTCGTAATGTAGGCAACCAACATTACACTTTGTCACTATAATTGAATCTACTTTAAATAAATAAAATTTTACTGAAGTTTTAGATACACGAACGTATAAATGTATCTAATTATTATATTAATAAAAATAACAACACTTTTTCTCGGCGCATCCACCATATCATGTGATATACAAACAAAGATTAATTTTGACGCTCAAGAAAGTAGTAATTAATGAAATGTAAAAAAAAATTTATATAAAATGAGTGAATTACTACAAGAATTTTAAAATTAATTATTTTTATACATATTAAATATTAAAATAATAAAAAATTGTTTAGAACATCCACCATTTTTAGTTTATAATGTATGCAACCAGAATTACAAATTCTAACGTATAAGAAATTAATAATAAATTAAAAATTAAAGAAAAACTTATTTGAACTAAGTGAAGTTTTACTAAGGTTACAGTTACGCTGATGTTAAATATTTTAATACATATTAAATGCAATTATAATACATCTTAATTAAAAATAATAAGTTTTATTTGGCGCATCCACCATTTTAATAAGCCATATAGGCAACCAATGTTACACTTTAATCTTAAAAATTAAATGAAAATGTAGGAAACTTATTTAAAATTAGAGTAATTATTACTAAAACAAATACTTGGCGCGTCCACTAAGTATTTTTATTTTTAATGTAGGCAACTACCAAAACACTTTAACACCCTTAAGAAGTTAATAATAAAATAATGAGAATGAGAAAAAAGTGTTTTTACTTTTGTGAAATAAATAAATTTTTACAATAATTTTGAATTTGATAATTTTGTACATATTAAATATTAAAAGTAGTAAAAAAATTCCCGGCACATCCACCATTTTTTGTACATAATATATGCAACTAACATTACACTTTGTTTAATTCAAGAAATCAATAATAAATAAAAATGTAAAAAAATATTTGAAATAAGTGAAGTTTTTATTACGCTAATTTTAATAGATAATACATATAATCATAATATTTATTTAAAATATTAACGACTTTACCAGACGCATCCACCATCTTAATGTCTGATATAGGCAACTGACATTACATCGTTATACAGTTGGAGACAAAATACTTTGGTCGTCACTTTTCTGACACTTTAATGTAATTCAACCTTTAACGTTAAAATAAATGACAATTTCAAATTAATGACAGCTATTATATTTTCCTATCAAAAATATGTACATACAACTTGACAGTAACTAAAAATAAGGTTAACAGTCCTAAAGCATGCTTTACCATTTAGTGTCACTCAAGTGACATTGGCGACCAAAGTGTATTGTCTCCAACTGTACATTCAAAATCAATATTTTTAATAAATAAAAATATAATAATTATAAAAATAACAGATTTGTGAAATGACACAATAATTAGCAACATAAAACATAATCCTTTTTTTTTCAATATGTCATCAAAGTTTGACACACAATGATCACAATAAAAAAAAAATGATCTCACATTTATTAATTATTGAAATAACACTCAATAATAAAACATATGGCTTCCAGTTGCATTTTTTTATTAATTTGCTCATTTCAACTAATTTCTAATTGCTTTGCCCTAATTAATTTTTCCTTTTCATGTCAGCGATATTATATTTCCCGTATCGCTTTTCCATCAATTCAATCGTTTGATTTCTGAAAAGATAAATGATAAAATCGAATGGTTTGTTTGTATTTCAACCGAAAATATGGCCGTCATCACCAAGTTTTGTTTTTCGTGTTCTGTAAGACTCGGCTCGATAATTACAGGGTGTTTGACACTGGTAATTGCAAAATTAACCAAAATAATTAACCAAGTATAGATTCAAGCTTGCGTCCTGTTGGGAGTCACACTAAACACGCCTTTGGACAAAATCAGCGATAGTTTGAATCAATGGTTGAGCGAAATTCGTTTAGAAGAAGGATGTTTCAATGAAATTGCTAATAACCCAAAACTGATTCTCACAATTAGCTCTGTGTTTTTCTCATGCTTGATTTGTAGCTCAGTTTTGTTGATTTATGGCAGTTTTCAGGTAATTTAATTAATTTTATTAAAAAAATGTGACAGTTTTTTAGACTCGGCCACTGCTGATGTACCCTTTCATTGTTTTTTATTTTTTGTACATTTTGGCTTTATTTTTTGTACTTTTGTTTGTGTTGGAGTTTATTAAAGTGAAAGGGAACGGTTTAGGCCAATTGATTTTGTACTCGAACCTTGGGGGATTCACCCTGTGTGAGTTTAATGAAACACGCATTAATTTTTTAATTAATTTTTATTTTAGTGCTTTATTTGTACACATGGTGCAGTGTGGTGAGTCTAACACAGATAGTAAACGAGCTTCAAGTCCGATTAAAACACAAATTGCGAGTGGTCGATGCAATGAAGAAGAAGAAAAATGTTTACAATTATGCCCATTTTAATTAATTAGTGTTTTATTTAACAACACATCTAGCTACACAAGTCCAACAAAAATTCCAAATTACTCCATTTCCAGTAATTGGTAGGTCTTGTAAACGCCAGGCTTCGTTGCTTGTCTGTCGCTGTCAAAAGAAAAATATCTGGAAAATAAATATCGCAATATTTTGATAAAAACTGGAAGACTTTATTACGGCTGAATTTTCTCCTCTATTCGGCCTTTGAGGAGTCTCAAACAGTTGGACCTATTGAAATAATTAATTAAATTAATTTCCTTGATTACTTCCCTTACTTGAGACAACTCCGGGCTGCTCGACCGAAAGCCCCGCCCGGAATCAAGCCATTGAGTGGCCCCCTTCGATGTTTCTCTGTCTTAGTCTCATATTTACTGAAAAATAAAATGAATACAAAAACTGAAAACGAGTTTTTTTACCCCGGTTGTACGACTCGTTTTGCCACTCCATAGCCACCTCCCAGTTGCAAAACTCCGAAATTTCGAACTCTTTTTTCCCCAATCACCTCCTCGTAAGCTAATAAATAATAATCAGTAAAACAATCGTCACGTTTATTGTATTTATTGATAATTCGAATACAATGAATAATTAAAGTGATCGACCATTTCGTCTGTATCCGTCAAGTAGGCGTTTAATATCAATCGATCGGCCAATCAGATCGCCGTCGATGGGATCGACGCTCCGCCCAACCAGGTTCCCTCCGCCGATCCCGTCGAGACTGCGACCAATCAAATCTCCGTCGATGGGATCGACGCTCCGCCCTACGAGGTTCCCTCCGCCGATTCGGTCGAGACTGCGACCAATCAGACCGCCGTCGATGGGATCGACGCTCCGCCCGATCAAATCGCCATCGATTGGATCCACGCTACGGCCAATCAGATCGCCGTCGATCGGGTCGACGCTCCGCCCAAATAAGCGACTCCACCCCCGCCCTAGAATTTCTAAAGTGGGCAATTTCCTTTTACGAGACGAAATTACGGCACAAGACACCTGAGTTCGGACGTAAACGACACAAAGACGTTCACAATCAATTTAACAAAATAATAAAAAGCGACTTACGGTTATATCCTGCAAGACCGGCCTGGAAAAAAATGAACAATTTAAACTTTCTTAATTCCCGGTTTAATTATCTCTGTGATTATTTTAGGGGATTTACCGGCAAAAGTTAATATTATTTCAGGAGCGTTACATGATACTCTTCCGATCTAATTAATCCGAGTTGAATGGAGTCGAACTAAATTCAATAAAATTGAACAAATAGTGTGAGCTCGATTCGGAACGATTTGTATTTTTATCTTGGGGACTTACCGGTCTGGGGGAGGCTTCGGTGGCGGCCACTGCCACAAAAATGACGATTGCAAGAGTCACAAAACGCATGATTTTTGCAAGACTGTGCTGCACACTCTGAGGCTTAAGCAAAACTTGCCAAGAATTTATATCCCGAGGGACAGCTGGGATGAGAGGGGGACACACGCAAGTGACACGTAGGAGGCGCGAGAAGGGCTTTCACGCACTCAAGCCCTTCGAGTGGGCAGCTTAATTAAATCAATCCGCAAAAATTACTTTTTAAATAATATTATTTAAAAAAATATACAGGGTGTAACGAAAAATTAGAAGACGTCAATAAAATTGTTTTTTTTTTTGTTTAAATTAAGTAACAAAAACATACATAAGGAAACTAAGTACTAAAAATTTTTTAATAGCAATAATAATGAATGGCCAACGTCCAAAATTTTGACACGTTTATTTCAAATATTTTTTACTCTAAAACCAAAGACCTTACAAAAATTTTACAAGATACAAAAATTGTTTAAAAATAATGTATCGTTCGAATAAAAAAAAATACGCCACGCGGATTACGAATAACAAAAAAATATGTTAAGTTGTAACTTACAATAAGAATAAAACAAAAATAATAGCACCTATGTGGGCTTGATACATATTGTTTGTACCAAATTTCATTTAAAAGTTATTCAAAAAAAAAACGAAATTAATTTTTCAGCTTTGGCACTTAGATGTAAGTTGGATTAAATCGTTTTATTTTGATATGGAAAATCTCTTTGTCCCCATTTTTTCTTACACCCTGTATATGTTTAATTTTTTTTATAGTGGCGGTCAAGGTGAGCCATGAAAATGACAGACTGGTGGGTTTTTTACATTTTACCACGTTTTGAAATTGAAAATAAAAAGGTTTTTATTCTATTTTGCGTCTGAAAGAAAGCTTATTTTGATGCTTTAATGAGCCATTTCAACACCAATTTGGGTGTTGAAATAGACTAGAATAATTTTTAGTAAATTTTCAGTGGCGTTTTGAGCGATTTCTCTTATTTCAAGAGAAATATTTGCAGAATTCATTGTTAATTCAACAAAATTTTGATAAATACTAAGACTTGACACTTAAAAATTGAATTTTTCAAATTTTGTGAGATTTATTACCATCCACCACCTTATTAGGGCAAAAGTTCTTAAATTTTGAAAAATCGACTTTTGTGTTAAAAAAGTTCGTAAAACGCGCAAAATAAAAAAAATAGTTTCATTATAGTGTCTCTTCTATCAACTTGTAAACATGAAATTTACTACACTAGCGGACACGGAATTTTGGACGATTTGTCATTTGACTGACATAAAAATGTAAAACGGGCCTTAGGCAACTAATCTCACTTTCGGTTTTTGTAATTTTCATCCTGATAACTAGAGAAAAAATAACAACAAATCAAAATAATTTATAAAAACACGTATTACTGGCATTATTGTTTCGGAAAATCGACGCCATAAATAAATTTCAATTTAAACTTTCAAATTTTAGTTTCAAACATCAATCATGACAATAAAGCGTGGCTTCCATTGATATTTTTTGAACTGATATAAATTTGATGTCCAAAATTCCAAAATTGTGTTAATATCATTTGTTCAATTTTAAAAACTTAAGTTTCTTGTTACAAACTTAAAAAACTTGTAAAAACTTAAGTTTTTTGTTACAAATCTGTTAAAACAAAACATTTATGTGTAACTAACTAAATTATATTAAAAGTTGGCAATATTAATGTTTTAGTTTTTTTATTTTTATTAGTTTGTCATTTTTATTCCAATTAAACCAGGTTTCAGAGACTTTTGTTCACTACAGTGTAAATTATTTGACTTCGACTGGGTGTTATTTTATTTTTTCAGGTCCTAAGGTCTTTAAATATTTTACTTTTTAACTCGTTTACGTCGTTTTTGTGCTTTGTCCTCGCACATTTAGGCGCAAAACAGCAAATTAACGCATTGTTACCAACAGAGTGTACAAATACAATGTTTTATTTTTGCTATATTTTTTTGGGAAATGTAAAATTCTGGGATTTTAGTGGGCATATTCTTAGTCGCTGATGCGAATTTAGCGCTGAGGGAAAATGGGGGATTATCGTGTCAGTAACTTCCTGGGGTATAAAAACTTGAAAAGTTGTAGCGAATTACGGTTTTAATTGTCATTGACGGATCAGATCTGAAATTTGATGGTAAAAACCGCGGATAAATTCCGGGAGTTTGTTTTACGAGCACATTTCATTAAAATATTTGCGTTGCAATAAACACAACATATGTGCTACCTGTGCAAAGTACTCCAACATATCAAATTTTGATAAAGTTGAGAGTGAGTAAACACAAATAAAGTTGAATGGAAAAGCACTCGAACTTATTAATATTGTTTATCCCAAATGACGGGTTTGAATTTAGCGCCGTGATGTTGACAGTTATGTAACCAAAAATCCCTAAATTGGGGAAAGTAACGAAACTGTCAAGTTTTTGTTTGGTGCTGATGTATGTCCGAAAAATCAGTTTTTTTCCTTTAATTCGCCCCAAATAGGACAATGTTTACGAACATTTAGCGTTAATTTCCCCGAAATCATCATGAATCGCTTAACAAACGGTGAGTTGTCAGTCTTAGCAAAAATTTGACTTTTGACATTTACAACTTTGTTTACTTTTAAGGCAATTTGACGATGCCACCGCCCGTTGTGGACAAATCCAAAGACTGGCAGTTGGAGATTTTAATGGAAAAGTTGCGTTCCAAAGCGTCGCAGTACAAAAACTTGTCGGAAATTTCGAAAAATGTGCGAATGGCCATGCTTGTAGGTTATGTCATGTTTCAAAGCCACCATTGATGCCCTACTTTCAGGACAAGCGCTACGCCCTCGACAGCGTCGAGAAGAGCCAACACCAGAAATGCCTCGACACTTTGCAGCACTCCATCAAAGTGACGTCCTTGCAGAGCATGATCGAGCGTTTGGAGAGTCTGACACGGCAATTGGGGCTCAAATTCATGGTGGGCCCCTCGGGGGTGGAGCTCTTCATCTCGTCCGATATGTTCTACTTGGAGATCGTGCTCGACCAGACGGGGGCTGTGAAAGACGTGAAAGTGCACCATGACAGTAAACTAGAGCAACAGAGTTGCTCTGAACTCGTCAATTGCTTATCTAGAGGTGACTTTGCCGACTTCACTGTGCAGTTGGAGGGCTTCGCGTCGATTTACCAACTCAATGCTGAGAAAAAGGTCAAGTGTAAGGCCTTCACAGCCTTGCAGTCGCTGGAGTCCGATTTGAGCACTTTGGCCCAGTTGCAGTCTTTCATGAAGGAGCCTTTTAACCTATTGTATAAGTCTCCAGTCGGCGTGTTGGAGAAGCGCCGAGGGGGGCACCCCATGAAACTCACTTATTTCGTCTCCCCTTATGATTTGTTAAATGTTGAGAAATGTGATATTGAACCGATTACAGTCGATGCAATTATTAGTAGGGCTCTGGGGTACAGTGTGACGGTGTGTATGGAGGGCTCCGCCACTCACAAGTTGCAAACCACGACTCTCATCACAGTCAATAGGAATATTAACGGGAAAAGGTAAAAACTACTCCACAATTTATTTTTCTCTCCTACGAATTAATTAATTTTAGTACACCATCATTTTCATCGTTAAGTAGCCAAAATAGTGCTGCAATTCCGGCCTGTTTTGTCCTCAAATTAAATAAACCGATGCCAATGTGTGTCAATTTAGTTAGACAAATTCAACAAGTTACTGAATTGGACACTATAGAACAATCAACAACTCATCCTTTACTTAGTTTAATTGTACATCATACTAGTGAGGGGAAAATGGAGTCAGGAAACAATAAAGGCCTTTTTGTGGTGAGTGGATTGGTTGGCAGCAATGAAAAAATAATTTGGCAATCTTGATTGTTAAAACAAATGTCACAATTTAGTCAATTTTCATTCAAAACTTTTCAATGTTTAAACGCCGAAGAAAACTGCAAAATTCGTTTAGTTTTGAAGTTATAGTCGGATTTATACAGGGTGTTTCACACAACTTTACGAGGCTTGCGTCTAATATGTGCACCCAAATATACAAAAGTCACAAAATACGATACAAAAAATACACTTCTTACTATTTAATTTTTGGAAACCCATGACAGTAGTTGTCAAACTAATCGCTGTTTCATTAATAGTCATAAACTGCAGTTTTTCAGAAACAATTATCATTTGTTCTACCAAGAGACGACATGAATATAATTCTAGTTTATCTATCTTAATCACTAACTAACTAAAAACGTAATTTTTTAAAGGTTGAAAAACTAGAGAAGATTATTCAATTTTTCAAAATTTGTAATCGAGTTCGTATCGGAATATGTATTATTGATTGCATCTTACAGGCGCAGGCCTCGTAAAATTACGTGAAACATCCTGTATTTTTGAAATTTTTTATTTTATTCAAAATTTTCTCGATAACTGTTTATCGTAGAACACTGGTCTTTTTTGTATATGATAGAAAATTAAATTTTCTTTCCAACGGGTGCCAAAAATCGACCAAAATCTCAACAAAAATAAAAAAAATTGACAACTTTAAAATTGAACCCAATAACATTATTTACGTTTCTAGAGGTTCTAGAGACTCAAAAAATGGCATAAAACATTTGGTAGCGAACAAACTGACATTTAGTCAAGTCAAACTGCCACGAAATTAGCAAGTGTTGCCACTAGATTTTTTTGTTTTTAGAGGAAGTTATTAGTAATATTGTCTCTGAAGTTGGCAACTTATTAAATTACATTAATTATTATTGTTTGTGAGTTGATTTAATTTTTTTGCAGACTTTACCCGACCAAACTCATTGTTACTTCATGACTGAGAACAAAAACATGGATGGTGTTTTAGTTTCAAGCATTCCATTTACCCATCCGGCCCATGTGTCCCAAATTTTAGTAATTTTAAGACAACAAGCTCTCTTCAATACGATAATCGGCAGTTGTGTGCGTCCTAATAGCAAACAAGGTAAAAAATTACCCGCCTCGCTTTGTTCGTTCCTCAAAATTGTTGTGTTTTTTTTCCTCCAGATTTTGAAAATATGACTATGTTTGAGATAAGTGCCCTTTCCTGGACCCACATCTCGCTCTCTCTCGAGCACCCGCTTGAAGAAAGTATGGCAACGGCCGAAATCGACCTTAGCGACATCTCCAATCTGGTTTGTAAAATTGTCAGTCCGGGGACTCCGCCCCCGCCTAACACCCCCGACACCGCCTCTGATCTCAGCACGAGAATTTTAAACCGATGTTTTTCGATTCCGGTAACAATGCGAGCAGTTTTGAAACTATGGGAAAAACAAGTCACCAAACGTCATTACAACGGACATGAAAATTTTAGTTTACCCCTCGGTTCCGGCGACCCTGGGGGTCACAAGGGGGCCCCAGGTGGTAACTTGACGGAATTCGGGGGGTTAGATAAGATTAAACAGGAGCCCCTTGGGAATAGTAATCATGGTATGATGATGCAAGGACATCAAGGGATGTTTTTAAACGAATCCATGATGGCAAATAGCAACTTTCAAAATTTTCAAACAGGTGAAGGTATGCTCACTAGTATGGAATTGACTAGTATACTAGCAGGGGGCAACCAATCGGATAAGATAAAAAGACCCCACAAACGTAAATCGGACGATTTGTGGAAAAACAAACGAAAATTGGGCGAGGGGGCCGACTCTGACCTTCTCGTCGAAACATCAAGCAGTGATTCAACATCACGAAGTACCCCAATCTCACAAGAAAATGAAATTGCGACCCCAAATTCAGGATTGGAGTTTCATTCAGACCTCGAACTGATGAGTGGGCTTGATCCTGCTGAATTATTAGCCGAGTCGGATAAAGTTGGGGGCGAATTTGGGACTTTAGATGAATTGGGAGACGTAGAGGAGATGTTAGCGGGGCCGTCAAGAAGAAAATCACATGATCAGAAATCACCAACTATTATGATTGATTTGGGGGAAAAAAATTTGGTACCACCCAGTGTCAGTATTACACCGATTCCGAGTACTTCACCGGGGTTTAATCAGGGAGGTAATGCGGAAAAAAGGCCCGGGATTGAGATTATAGCCCTTGCGACGTCAGCCGCCACCGCATTGCCCAGTTCTATCACCATTACCCCCATCACGACGTCGCAAAGCAAGGGGGAGGACAAGAATAGGGAGAAGAAAAGTAGTAAAAGCAGATCGGATGATAAGGTATTGGGAAAAAAGAGATTTTACCAAATTTGAATTTTTGACAGCTGTCAAATTTGACAGTGAAAAATTTTTTTCTGCAAAATTTTGTAATAAGAAAATTATATTTAGTTACTCCCTTGCGTATTTTTATTAAATTTTTAGTTTTTGGGCATTTTTAGAACAATTGCATATTTAAATATAAATTTTAAGGACTGGTACTCCTGGAATAACTTTGTCAAATTCATGGAAATTTTTGGAAATATGTATCTGTTTTTATCTTAAATTCAAGTTTTTGAGGTTTTCGTATTCTTTGATCCATTAAATGCAAAGTTTTTTTTACAATTGATGAATAATTCTTGTAATTATTAAATTTTATAGTAAATCTGTTGACTGCGGGTTGGCAGGCCTGACTCGCTTAATTCATGTTAATTTGTAAAATTTTGATTGAATCGCATTTATTTAACTCATTTTTTGATAAAATTGTGATATCATGAGTTAAAAAAATCTATCTTTGTAATGTGAACTCTTTTTACTGATTTTTTTTAATTACAATTACGTTTCAAGTTGCGCATCTCGATAACCTCAGTTTTTTAAATTTGTGATTATTTTAGTCGTGTTATAGGGCCGTTTTGAACTCATTTTTGTTAAAATTGTGATATTTTGTAATAAGAGTTTGTGTTTGATTGTGATTTGACTCTTTTTTTGTGATTTTCGAATTAAAAGTTGCGCAACTAATCACATAACCCCACTTATTTGAAAATTTGTGATTTATTATGTTGTAGGGCCGCCTTGAGAAGAAGCGGAAGCGAAAGCGCGACGAGAGCCCGATGGGTCCGCCGGATAAGGTACCCCCGAAGCAGGACCCCCTCACCAAGCCTGTCACTGTTAGTATAAAACCGGCCGAGTCTCCGCCCCTCAATATGAGTACACCGACGAGTCCAAGCATGATGCGAAAATTCAACGCGTCGCCCACTCAAAATCGTAATATTTCCATGAGTGGTAAACTGAGTCCCAATCTTATGAAACCGACTCTTAAAACCGGTTCATCGCATCACAGTCCAAAACATTCACCTGCTCATGTTCCGAGTAGTCCTAAACATATAATTCCCGGTATTTCGAGTCCTAAAAGTCACGGGACTTCCCCTAAACATCCATCGACTAGCGGTTCCGGTAAGCCAAGTATGTCGACTTTGAAAAGTGCCGCAAATTCACCGAAAAATTCCGATTCGAAAACGAAATCAACATCGAAGGATTCGTCGCGGGATAAAGAGAAGAAAATTTCGGGTGTGTTTAATGTTGCTTCGAAAAATAAATCGTCAGTGAAAGTGAAACCGTTGGATTTGAACACTGAGAATTTAAGTGGGGTTCAGGATGGTTTACCGTCGCCGAGTTCGACGGATTTATCGAAATCGGCGATTTCGAATCAAGTGCGAAATCGAAAAGGCTCACTTTCGGCGATTGTCGATAAGCTAAAATCAGCGCAACATTGCGACGGAGTTACGGATTTGAGTAGTAAGGGGGCTAGCAGTGGGGGGAATAAAGACAGAAGTGGGCAAGTTTCAACGAAATTAAACGAGGGAAAAAGTGGTAAAATTGGTGAAACAAAAAATTCAGAATATATGGTTAAACCGAGTTCGGACGGCATGAAAATCACTATAAATAAAACAAGAAGTAAAGAAAGTAAAAATGTGAGTAAATCAGGCTCGGGATCACCCAAGACTCACACCGGTTTGAAACCGGGGGTTAATAGTGGACCAGCATCGAAAAAACCCCAACATTTGGGACAAAAAGTAGTGAATTCGACAAGTGGCGCCACCAATTATTCGAGTTTGAAGAGTAAAGCCCCGTCGGGGGCGAAAGTCTCAAGTGGGCCATCGAAATTGACAAAGTTGAGTAATTCCCCGAAAAGTGCAACTGATTTGAGTCGAAAAGATCGTCCAAAAATTAACAAAAGTAGTTCCGAAAAGTCGATTTTTACCTCGAAAGATGGCCGAAAATCGAGTCCAACGTCAAATAGAGATGAGAGCGATGGTGTTTATAAAATGTCAAAAATGGATCATTATAATCCACCCTCAATCGTCGAGGGTTTAATGACTGTACGTCAATTAGATAAAAATTTCCAGATTCCTAAATTATCGGCTCGAGCCTCAGTCGACGATAAAAAACCCAAAGTCACTTCTGACAATTTAAACAACATCAATCGGACTGTCGATACGAAAATTTTCGACATGATGAACAAAACCGACCTCAAATATCCTCTCGCCATCCCTCAAAAAACCTTCGATAATTCCGTCGATGCGAAATTAAGGAATAACGTGACCCCCACTCTCCCCCTTCCTAGTTCTAGTCCGAAATTGAAAGAAGACGACGATAAAAAGGACCAACCACAGAATCTCGTCCAATCCAAGGACGACTCCGCCTACAAAGTGAATTATCCAATTGCCGTATCGAAATCGGTGCTCCCGCCCATTTCCGAACCTTTAAACCTCTATACGAAAAGCATCGATTTGACGTCGAAATTTGTTGCGCCCGCCCCCAAAGACGACAAAAAGGATGTAACGAAGAAAAACGACGATGTACTTTTAGATTTTTCGGCGTCGGGGAAAATCGACAAAGGTGGGGGTGGGGTGAATTTTCCGCAATCGCCTTCGGTTAGTGTTCATATAGTTAAGTCGCCGGCGCCTTCGCCCCTTATAGCCCCTAGTCCGCATTCGGCCTCGCCGTGTATTACGGACGATGAATTGATGGATGAAGCGGTGATAGGTATAGGAAAATAGAAAGTGAGGTTAAGGTAAGGCCGGACTTTACCTCAAATTCGGTGTAAATAGTGAAGTTAGGTCCGCAATTTTTGCTCGCACCCTCTATATACAGTGCGATTGATTGATTGTGAGGTGTCTTCCATTCATAAAATTTGAGATAGGAAAAATATTATTAGGTCTTCCTTTTTTTCATTAAAGTCATCGACCGAATGATTCAATTGTGTATATTATTTTTTCAAATCGCACTGTATATACAAGTGTCCTAAAAGTAAACCGCCATACGTCAACCAGTGATAGAAAACGTCGTTTGACATTTTTTATCCTTGGATGACATGTGGGACACCTGTAACTTGCGATGTCGGTAAAAGCGATGTCTTCGTTATCGGTCCGAATTGAATCCGAATTGTCCCGAGTCGGCGCTGTAAATATTTTAGTGGTGTAAGAAAAATCGCCGTCAGTATTAGAATGAATTTTCGGGTTTTTTCTTGTGTATATTTTATGCATTTTAATTTTTTTATCAAGCACTGGTATTTTTCTTTAGATAATTTTCCTCTAGCATAAAATGTTTGTAGGGAATTTACTAATGAACAAGTAATAATAATGTAAAGAGTAGGTACAATTAGGTAATCGCAGTTACATAAAATATTTATTGAAAGAAAAAGAATTATTTTGTGTTGTGCATATCATAGTACAAAACAGAGCCTCGAGAGAATTAATTATCTCAACGAGTGGCATAACATAATTATGAAATTCTGTATAAAAATAGATTATTTATAATAATTGTTGTGTTTTTACCAATGTGCCTGTCTTAGTTTTGCTACAGCTTGGATAAAATTAGAATGACTTGCATATAAATCCAATTTTGAGTCAATATCAATCCATTTGACATTTTTTGCATCATCCCCTGCCTGTAGTTTGAATTTTCCGACAGTTGTGTTATTATCATCGTGGAAATTCACAGCTACAGTTTCCATCCATGCATTATCAGTGTTCCTGGGGTCGTCGACATACCCCTTAAAAATTTCCTCACCCTTTGAGAAAAACCCCGAAATCATTTCCTCATTTGCTTTATCCGAATTTTCCAAACTATTAAACGCCTCCTCTAGAAACTCCCGTTTTAAAGTCTCGCTCACACTTTCTCCGGGATCGACCATTCCTCCAGGAATCGCCCATTGGCCGCAATCCCGTCTCTGGATGGCGCAAAACTGCAAAATCGGCCTAAACCACAATAAAATAATTCATAATGAGTTGTTACAATTTCGTCCCTGGATGCAATTCTTTCGGCGATTTCCATCGTGTTACAACAGGGTCAGCGGCATGGTTAGGGCCCCATTTCCCCAAAACGCCGCGTCCTTTTAAGCCGGTCCTGCCTTCGGGATTGAGGGGGCGTCCGTCGATGATTTTATAAGGGCCGGTGTGGCTCTTCCGGTTGGTTTTACCGTCAAGGGCGTTCCATTTTGGGCGGAAATTCGGGTCATCACAAGGGGGGTCAGCCCAGGGTTTGTTATGCAAAACAGGCGAGTCGTAGTCGGGGGGCGAGTAATTTTCGACCGGGACGGCCCATGGGATTTGGGCATCGGTGAGGACGAAACGGCGGATCTCGCTGAACGGGTACAAGCCGGTCCTGCATTTTATGTGCACCATCTTCGAGGACTAATTTGCGTTTGAGTGTGCACGCGACCGAATTAATAATAAAAAAATATGTTCATGGGATTATGTCACGTGGACTGTAATGTTGGTTGCCTACTTAACCAAAAATATGGGGGACAAAAAACAATTAGACAGTGATCGTGTATTTATTTTACAAATAATTTATTACAAAATGGCAGCCATCTGCTACAACTTATGACATTAATCAAATATTTTTATACATTTTATAAATAACCTAATAACTCATAAAATACTTCTAAGTGGTAACTAGAAACTCGTAACCGAGAACAAGACTGACTGGTACGTTAGATAAAAATTACAAGATCAGTCACGAATTGATTGCACATTTTCTTTGTATCAATAATAATTTTATGGAAGGAGTTAGTAGGGATGTGAATTTGGCACATTGAGTATTAAATTTCCTAAGTAGGTGCATGGGCGTGGCTTGGTTTAGCCCCGCCCGTGCTCTACTCCCCGAAAGCCTATATTTGTGAATGTTTGAAATTAGTTAAGTCGGGTTGCATCGACACACGCAACAAGACGGAAATAGGAACCAATCCATAAAAATGCCTTTACAGTCGTTATCCGGATCATAGGCCAGCAGCCGGTGCCACTTGTACTTCTGCTCGCATCCGCAGTCGCCCGAACAGCGATTCGTCCTCACTTTTCTGCAAGAAAACGTCAAAATTGGTGTTAATACAACGTTACCAGCTCAAAAAATCAAATTCAAAAAGTTACCAAATTTACACCAAATTTTACAGTGTGAGTGGTTGAAGTCTAAAAGTTGAGTAAATATATAATATAATCTGTTTTATATAACAATTTAGTGATTTTTGACTCGCTATTTGGCAGTTTTTGTACCGGGTGGGGCATCGGTTACGCGCACTTGATAAATCGCGACATCAAATTAATTAAAACTGGCGATATTTCATATACCTAACTAATTATTGATAGGGTATAATTTGAGAATTTTTCTAAGTTTTTTGAATAATAAATGAGTCCGTAACAGTTTTGTGTGTTTTATGAATACTTTCTGTTAATTTACCTATAAAGTTTTTACTCTAAATGAATCTGTACCTGTCAGCGCATCAAACTTTCATATCACAATTTCAAATTTTGACTTGGTTAGCCTAATAATCGCTTTTTTTATTTAAACGCAAACCAGACCCGTGATTTATGACAAAATGGTATAATTTGCCAACAAAAGAATCATTTACTGGTAGCCGACCGCTTTAAAGGGTCTTTTTGTTGTAAACTTTGGAAACTTACCCTAATTGTAGTTCCCATTGTCACCTGATGGCACAAGTAGCAGGTCATAAATAAAAATGATTTTCAAAGTTAAGATGGAAAATTGCGTTTAATTCATAATCTAATTTGTATTTTTTTTCTGATTTTGTAAACAATTGTAGGAAGTGAATCTGCGTAGGTCAGTATAAAAACAAGAATTAATTTTTTTGGGAAAAAATTACTTTTTATTTTTTTTGGCCTTGTTTGTGAATGAAAAATTACCAAAAAATTAGAGAATGTACCTTACTAATGCCCAGGTAAGTGTGAAAAAATTCAACAATTTTATTTAATTAGAAGTGGGGATTTTCTTTTTGGGCGTAACGGATGCCCCACCCGGTACACAATAAAGACTTTAACGTCAATTCAGTGACATTTCACGCTTAGGTAAACAAACCGAGTGGCTGTAAATGGTTGTCTTTTCTTGAAGTTATTCTCATATTAAAAATTTAAGTTGGCAACCTTGTGTTAATAGCTGAGTAACATACGCGCACACTTCCTGATGTATCGCTTGTTCGAAATGCTGCGTGTTGACGATCGCCCGGATTTTTCCGGCGGAATTCGAGGCCCAATACGGCGTCACGATTTCGACTTTGCTCTCGCAGGCGTCGATTCGGCCGCTTTCCGAGCTCTGGTTGTTGCGAAAATTCTGTCTTGTGTTTCTGATTTGGCTAAAAAAAGAGTCTCCTCCGGGTTTTCCGCCCGGATCCGGTCCGGGATCGAAGTGCAGATCCGGCACGCCCGGCTTTGTCGACCTTTTCCTTTTCCGGCCAGGTCCGTATTCACCGCCGGGGCTTCCCATGTCGAACTCCCCGTACATCCTCTTCATCAGTGCCTTGTTCTCGTCTATGAATAACTCTATACGATCTCTGGAAAATAAATGAGCGTCATTGGAGGCAACGCCGACTGGGATTGACTCACAATGGATAGGAATTTCCCGCCGTGGGGCAGAACAATTGCTGGTGACGTTTTATACAGGGGACGCCACGAATGTACTCGCCGCGTAATTCTAAACCTAAGGCGACGGATAACGCCGTCCATAATATCTAAAACAAAGAAAAAAATTATTCAAAACACGAAAAATTCAATTTGGTCCGCCCTGTATATCCGGTTTATGAATGAAATCCCACTCGCTAGTTTACATAACGTTATTGTTCCGCGCTCTATTACGATTGGCTTTTTTCGGGTCACGTGACCGCGATGTGCCAATCCGGAAATGTTGTAGTGTGAATCCGGCCCGCTTGATTAAAAAGGACGTGATTTTTCCAAGGATTGTTCTTCCTGGGAATTGGAAAAAAATTTGCAACTTGTGACATTAACGTAATTTAAAGAACTATAACAATTCGGTGACTAACATTGTTATTTAAAGAGCAAGGTCGGTAGGTGTACGCGTTTGTTTTCCGGTCGCGTCGCAACCGTTTCAAGGGTGGGATTTTTTCATCATTTTCGCTTGTTTTTCACCCTGTATAGCGATTGATGGATCGAGTCATCGGCGAAAAATTTTTTTAATCGGTTCTTCGAACAGGATATTTGCTCCGATTTACGTCAATTGTGCGAAAAAATCGCGCTACAAATTTCATAATAGAGCTCTTTTTTTTTCTTCTTTAAAGGATTTTTTCGCGGATTTTATTGAAGTTTATTGTGAGTCATGGTCTCAAAAACACAATATTTAGACAAGATCACTGACTTGAAGAGGTGATTCAGATTGACTTTCAGGTTTGGCAAACGTAATCTGTTTACAGACTTTGCAAAATTTCTTGGAACAATACCTGTTTCATTTTTCATAAAAAGTTAATTAAAAAAAAACACTAAAAATTGTTAGTCCAGTTAAATAGGATTCAAAATGCTTTATGATCAATATACTCGTTTTCATATTAATGTGAATATAGTTTTTAAGTTAGGCAAATACGGTTAAGTATAACCAAAAAATCATTTTTTAATTTTATAAAAAACTGATACTATACAGGGTGATCCAGGGTTGCGTGCAAGCTCCATAACATTTTTTTTTATCCAAGCTATCGACTTGATTTTTTTAAACGATGGATTCTACAAAGTGGTTATAAATGATTTTCATCTAGCCAGCTGTGAATTTTCCATGTAAAATAAAAAGTGCCGCTTTACTTGTTTTAACTCAAAATTAAAAAAATCGCCGTTTACTAAGCGTCCACTTCGAAAATAGACTTCAATTATAAACTTGTTTTCTTCCAAAGTATACATTATTATCAATTATTATTGAAAATTAGTTGAAACAATAAAAGTTTAATTAACAACAATTTATTATTAATTAATAAGTGACACTAATGATGACAGAACTAGAGCTTTCAAAAAAGTAGAGCGGCACAAATAAAGTTACATGCAAAAAAAATCTAAAACTGGCTAGATGAAAATCATTTATAACCACTCTGTATAATAAGGCACATTTCAAAAATATTTTTATTTAATGCAGAGTATCCCAAAATAAGATACACAACTAAATTCTGTTTTATTTAAATGATATAATATTTTGAGCTAAGCCTATGTAAAATGTTCCGGGGAATCGATTGGCGTCAAGAAAACTGCAAAATTCGTAATAGTTTTGAAGTTATAGTGGAATTTATATTTTTGATATTTTTGACTTTATCAGAAGTTTTCTCGATAACTATTTATCGTAGAACACTGATATTTTTTGTATATGATAGAAATTAAATTTTCTTTGCAACGGTACCAAACATAAGAGGTTATCACCAATAAGTCCGGAGTTATGTGCAATAGACCGCTCCGGGTGCCAAAAATCGAACCAAAATCTCGACAAAAATTTAAAAAAAAATTAACTTTAAAATTGATCCGTATAACGTTTTTTTACATTTCTCTAAATCCTAGAGACTCAAAAAGTGCATAAAACGTTATTGGGTCTAGTTTGAATTTTTTTTTTGAATTTTGATAATAAGTTGGGTAGTGGCCAAAACACAGTTTTGTTGTCCAAATACTTAAAGTTCAAAATTTGCGAGGTAAATAAATATTCTGAAAACTTTCCTCTGCTCCAGCTGTTTATAAAATCCGAGGTTATCAACCAATAATACCTCAAAATTCGTTAATAAAAATTCCGAGTCCCCTGAAAATTTTCATAATTTTTCTCATCACAGTCACATCACTGGAATAAATTAAAATTTTACGACCGTGTAGAAAAATCGTTGAAGGTTTGTCAAATGAAAGTCAATGTTCTGGAACCTTGACACGCCCCAACCCAACTCCGGGTGTCGGCTTCCGGTGCGTATCAGTAATTTTTTCGCGACGAAAAAAACCGCGATCTTATCACAACCCGCCACTCCCTTGATAAGATCGGGCGCCAAATTCGAATGTAAACAAACGAAACTTTGGCCTTGCTGGTTTGTTAGCCAACGAGGCCAAACCAAGGCAGCCAATCAAGGTTAAAAGTGCGCATGTCACACAAATTTACCAAAAAAAAAAAACAACAAATTATCACAGGGTGGCGACGTCCAATCACAAGCCGTGGGGGGCGTGGATTGGTAAGTGTCGATTTACGTACCAGTTGCGTCGGGAGGAAAGTGCATCGTTTCGGCATTGTTACGGTTTCGGTTGAGGATTTGACACTAAATCAAGCGACACGAGCACATTTTTTCGCGACGATGATGTGTTTCCAACATGTTTAGTACGAATGCAGAAATCGAATTAATTCGATGTGCGAACGCTCATGTGAAGGTCAGAGGAGCTTCCTTGCGTGAAACTCCGATGGGGGGATTTCGGTTGGGGATGCTAGGACGTTGACTTTTGCGCTTAAATGTTATTTTCAAGAAAAATTTTCATCATTTCATGAGATTTATTCAAGTCGTAAAAGTTTGAAGGTCTGGATAATTAGCTTCATTTCCTTCCCGAGTAATTGTTTGCGTTTATCAACGTTTTATGCTTGAGGCAGGCTTCACTTTATCTGATTTGTGCATCGCTGGTTAGCAACAACAACAAAAATTGAAAATAACAAACGACAAACGATGTTTTTACGGTGAATGAAAAGTATGGAAGCAAACGCTTTTTGCTATAAAAAAATTTGACATTTTATGAAAAAGAAAATTTTTGTTTTTTTTTGGTTTTGAGTTTTGTCTCAATAACCTCTATGAAACTTTTTTTTTACAAAGACTGACGTAAGGAGTATGAAAAAAAATCACACAAGTTGCCATTTTGAAAAAATCGCATAACTCAAAAAACAAAAAAAATAATTTTTAAAACACAATTACTTTTTTACAGTATTAATTATTATTTTGTGAAGGTAAATGATTTAAAAAACCGTTTAGTTCCATACTTTTTGTTGACTTTGTATACCCAGCACAATCTTTTAGAAACACCCTATACACAGGTTGGAAAAATTTTATCCCAAAACAGTGGACACTTAAGAAGACTACTATTATGGTAGGCAGTTTTCGCTATGTCTTAATTATAATTTAGTTAAAATGAAAATTTATTGTTTCCAACTGTTCCTATTTGCAATAATTTAGCTTCTTGCTCAATACTGGTTTCAGGTGTGATTTAATACAGTTTTAGAAGGTAGTCAAGTTTTGTCATATTAAAACTAAAACGATTTATTATGACTGGTGTGATATAACAATATATTATTATCGTTTTAATTATTGTGTATTAGCATTGAAACGTGAAAATATTAATTAAACACCTAAAAAATTGTCTAATTTTTCTAATTCCTTATAGGAAATTCTCAATATTTCAAGTTTTATTTATTATTTTTTTTTTCATAAAAATTAATTTCAATTACGAAACAATTTTTTTCTTGGAAAGGGATAACAAATATAGAGTTTTTGGATTAAGAATTTTCTACAAAATTTGATTAATTTCTCTGTCCAAGTACACTGACCGGCAAAATTAACGTCGTAATTTTCTATAGCATTAAACTGTGAAAATATTAATTAAAAGTTTATAAAGTGGTATCTGAAATTTCGAATAGTTTTTTTCCCAGTTCATTAAAATAAAATCTTGATTTACAAATCAAAGAAAAAGATGGACTTTGGATAAAAAATGTACACTAAGCTGCAAAACTAATGTGGTAATTTTTTATAGTATTAAACCGTGAAACTAGACACTGAAAAAATGTGATGTGAGGCTCCAAATAGTTTTATTTTCTAATTTATTATTGAAAATTAACAATATTTCAAGTTCTATTTGGTTTATAATCTTAAAAAAACGAACTTTAGGTCACTAACAAAAAAGCTAATTTTTTGAATAAAAATAACAAAAATCAAAAATTTGATTTACTGTCCATGTACACTGACCGGCAAAATTAATGTCGTAATTAATGGTGGAAATATAAGGGTTTCAGAACTCGCGTCTCTCAGAAAAATGCCAATTTTTTGACAAATAAAATTTTTTAAACATTTTTTTCTTGTATCTAGTCTTACTTTTTCTTAATTTTGCCCGATATGAAAATAAGTTACTACAAGTAGCAAGTAGCAAGCAGAATTAAATTCTCTTCGATCTAGTAAAGAAAAAATTGGGGCCTTTCATTTAAAAAAATTGAGTTGCCGAGTTTGAATTCTCCCAAACGTAATGTTAAATTTTGGGGGTGTGTTAATTATTTTTTTCTATTATGAATTCACCAAAAGAAATACCAAACCTTCTTCTTTTGAATGCCCCAATACGATTTCATAATAGTTAAAAATGGCAAAGTTACCGATTTTTGAAAGGGAGAGTGGAATTCCAAAAATTTTCAAAAAAGTCTAAAAAACCCAAAATTGGCCAAACTTTGGTGTAGGGAAGGTCGGTAATAATTTTTAGCATAACTCGGGGAATCAAAAACGCAATAAAAACAGCTTTTTATTTAAAATAACAAAGTTGATACCCACTTCCGGTATAACCGGAAGCGCCACCATCTTGAAAATGTTTTCCTTGAAAAAATATTTTGGAGTTGTAATAACAAAAATAAACCTTTGGTTAAAGAAATAACTAAAAAATTTGCGTGATTTTTTCCATGTACAATAACCGCAATAACCGCAAAATTAACGTCGTAGTTAAAAAATTATAAACTTAACATTAATTGTCATTAATTTATTTTTTTATTCAAATTTAACTTTAAATAGGATACTATACCTATTTTTGTCCGGCAAAATTGTGTGACATTAATTTGGTCGTTGACTGTACTTCAGTAATAAAATTTATTAAGTTGCTAAGGTCAGTATGTTGACCTAACTGTACTTTCATTGTTTGTGGTAAAAAACGATTGGTATACATAAAGCACATTTTCTTAAAAAAATTAAGTAACAATACAGATTAGAAAGTTGTTTTTATATGGCTATAAATTGTAGTTAGATACAGTTATATGGTTAAAGAGCAATAACTGTCGATATATTTATAATATTTTTTTTAATCAAAGACTGTTACAAATTCATTATTGAGTAGAGCGTGAGAAATTTTAAGCCCGACCTTTGCAATGTTATAATTGTTTTGATTTTTACACAAAGTTTAAGAGTTAAAAATCGAAAGCGAGTACCACCGACTTAACATTTTTTAGAAAGTCAAAACGTGACGATTTTATATAACAAACATTTAAAATTTCACCGATTTTTGACTCACCAAATTGCAAAAAGTGAGTCGATTTTTCCGCCCTCGCATTCTTGCCGCATGGGTAACCGTATTACGTCCATATGGAGCGAGGTCAGGGCCCGATAAAACCCAATCGTGCATAAAAGCGAACTTTTCGAAAGGTTAAGGCGTTTCCGGCGACGAAAAATCAATCCCTAGTGCAAAAAAGTGCTCCTTTCAAGGCTAGTGAAAGTTTCATTTCCGTTGCGTAACGTCTGCGTTACTCAATGGGTCATCTTCATGGCACGCTCGATCCAAACATTGCTTTTCCCCCTCACCGGGGGAAAAACACGCACCAGTTACACATTCAAATGACAGGAGACAAAGGAAACAATCAAATACCAATACGAAGGTCGGCATAAGTGAAAGGATTATTCCAAGTGAAAACCTGAATGATCTCAAATACGTCGTCGTTACATAAATCACGAATTTTGGTCATATATAACTTGTATGTTACCATAGTAACAGTGAAAGTGATGCACGTGCGTGTCACGTGAGCGGATTTTCTTTTGTTTTTCCATTCTTTTTTTATTCAATGGAGATTTGATCTGTAATTTATGCCACGGTTACGGCAGGTAATTACAGGTTGGCTTCTGTAAATATTTCACACTTAACGGAGAGCAAAGTGAGCAATTTTCGCAATTTGACGAGTCGTTGACTGTGGCGGCCTTGACGGCTTGCGCAATTGACGTGTCAGGTCAGGTTAAGTCAAACATTGAGGTTATGTCGTGACATTTGTACCAACTTAAGAAGAGAACTTTGACAATTGTTGAAAAAATCGGTTGTCGCTATTACCCAATTAGGATGAAACACATTACTTTTACTTTTTCAGTGTTAACCAGTAGCCATCTTGTTATAATTTATCTCGTAATGCTTTCAAATTTTAATTAACACATTTGTATTGGTTTTTACGCAAATCTTACGTTAATTTACCGATTAAATGGGGTATCACGTTTTCTTGGAGTAATTTTTGTTTCATTTCTAAATTCCCTAAAAGATAAAGGAAATATTTTTGTTTCGTTCGTGAGAAAAATCGCTTTGTAGGTCAAATTAGATTAAAAGGAAAAGTGTGTTTTGTGTCATTGCTTAATTTTCAGTAAACTAATTGATCTTCTGGGAAATTCAAGCTGCAACTATGTGTAATCTAGTGACTCATGTAAAAAGTTATTTTTGGATGTGTAATTCCTATCTTTTAAAAAAATAAAAAAGGAACGGTAATACATTTTTTGTTATTTTGCCACTTTGTTATAAAATATCGATATACAGGTGATTTAAAAAAAAAAACGGCAGGCACTGGAGAATTTTTATTTATGTGGTTTCAAAAATTAAAAAAAATTAAATTAAATGGCTTTTAATATACATAGTATAAGCTGACAATTTTAGAATTTTTCTAAATGTCTAACTTTAAATTGAAACCCTAATTTTTTTCTTCACAATTTGGAAGGTATTAGTTTTCTTGATACAGACATGTGCAATATGTTTCACTTTTACTAGAAATTATTGTTTAAAAAAGTATCAAAGTTAAAAAAAATATAAAAGTTAATAAAATCTAGTTGCATGGTGTCAAATAAGACAATGCCATTATTGTAATGTCTAAAAGCAGCTAATGAAAGAAAATATTGGCAATATTTTTCTAAATTTTTAATAAGAAATGACAATAATAATTACCTTTAACAAAGCATCTAATTTAGTGTAATTAATTTATTTTATTATTATTTATTTATTTATTTTATTTACTTTTAACAAGGTTATTGTTAACGTCAATTTTTTATTAACTTTAATTTTTTTCAATAATTAGAAAATCTACTATAACATTTAGAAAAATTCAAAAATTGTCACCTTATACCATATTAAAAGTCATTTAATTTAGTTTAATTTTTACAATCGGACCAAAAATAAAAATTCTCCAGTGCCTGCCGTTTTTTAAATATCACCCTGTATAAAGTTTTTTTTTGAAAATGTAATAAAAATGGTTAAAAATGAATAAATAGTTATTTATTATACAAGATGATAAAGAAATTGTTTATCTACGAGTGGTAAGGTTAAGTTTACGAGTGACGAAGTCACGAGTGGACTTGTTTCACGAGAATTTCTTGAATATAAACAGTAGGTAAAAATTACTTTATATCACAAGACGATAAAGGACTACTTTAACTACTGAAATTAGTTGATAAATTGAGTACAAAATAAAACATAATTATCTTCGAATCGGGCATATTTGATGTTTCTCATTCGTCCAATGGCGAATGTATAGAGATTTATTCATAAATTTTCCAACAAATTTTTTTTTGATTGAAAAGTTATTAAAAATAAAAATTTTTCAAAACAATATTGAAACTACTAAACAATCACCTTAGCCTTGATATGATCGTTTTGAACGTAATTTTTTTCAACAAAAAGCATTATTTAACATTTAAGTTTCTCAATTGATAATATAAAACTTGGACATCCTGTATAAAGAGATAAAATAAGGTATTAAAAAAACATGACAAAACTTGAAAATAACTATTGAGACCGAAAAAACTCACTTTAGGGACTTGAATGAGTCCTTAAAATAGCAATTTTTGGGAGCGTATAGAAAAACCGTTTTTTTATGTATTTAAAACAAATAAAAAATAGAAAACTTTAAAATAAGCTCAGTGAATTTTCCAATTATTTAATAATTTGCATTTGATCTTTGAAAACAAGAAAACGTAAAATTATATCAAACATCACAAATCTGAGGAGTTTTAGCTAAAAAAAAAAATTACTCTCGTGTAACATACAATATTTTTCCGACATTATTTACAAAATTTAAATTCTGGCAAGGTAAGCTGGTAGGGTTATTGTCTTTCTTTATTGCTTTAGAAATTGCTATTATGCATCCTTGTCGATCGTTGTGGTTAAGGCTACGGCCTTAATCGTAGAAAAAAAAATGTATTTCGTTCGGGCGCTCCAGTTCGTACTTACGGGAATCTGCACGAAAGTGCCATTGTTGAGCACCGGATGTGAGTAAAGCGGCACGACAGGAACAGAACCATTTTTAATGAAAATCGGCCCTTGAATGGGGGTAACCGGGGGCAGTTCCTCCTCCTCATCGTCGTAATCATAATCGATAACCGCGTGCACTTTAGTCTTAGTACCATCATCGGTAACTTTGGTATAACCCGGATGCCCCCCTTGCGCGCCGAAGTCCTCCCTGACGAAGGGCTTCTGGGGCACGGGGTACGAGTAGGGCACCGGCGGTTGGTAGAAACTGGGGATTGGGGGGTTGGGCGTCGCCACGAAGGGCGGCGTCGCTGAGAAATTCAAAAGGGCCATCGGGGCGCCGTCACGTCCACCCACAAGACGCAGCCATCGAAAGCTTATCTCACGGCACACCGCGATCGCGACTGGGTGACATTAGACGGAGAGTTTGGTCGGAGCCGCGACGGGACCCCACTCACTACACACACACACACCTACTCGACGATTCTTAGTTTATGGTAATTTGACTGGGGAGTGATTTGCATGAGGAATGTGATACGGTTCCTTGATAGCTCAATCAATTTATTAAAAAAAATACAAAAATCAGAAAGAGAAAAATGAGGGTAACCAATCGAAGGGTACGAGGACATTGGTTGGGACAGTAGCCTTCATGTAGCCTAGGCGAGGTTTAGGACGTCGATGATTGATCAATATTTTTTCAGTCGAAGGCTTCGGTTTCAAAGGGGCAGATGTGTACAAGAGGCCTTCAGTTAAAATATTTTCGCTAGTTGCAATTTTCCACAAACCTGGGCCATCGATTTCTCCGTGATTAGGTTTAGGTTGTACCCCTAGAAACACATTTCGTTGCCCAACTTATTATTTTCGTTTCTACCAACCTGGGTTTGATACAGAAACAGTGTCTCTAATTGCATCTTCAATAATTTCTAGCCTAGGTTTCGTTGTTCCACTAGGTTTTGACTGTGTTACATTTTCAGTATTAGGTTTGTAATTAATATCTACGGCCAAAAATTAACATATTTTCGTATGTAAAGTACAAAATAAACCTGGACTACGTTCGTTTACCCCTGACGTTGTTCCAATTTTACTAGGTTTAGGTTGTGTACCTAAAAACACATTTCATTGCCCTGCTCATTACCTTCAAAACTACCAACCTGGGCTTAGTACAGAAGCAGTGTCTCTAATTGCATCATCAAAACTGTTAATCGAAGTGATTTCTAGCCTAGGTTTCGACTGTGTCAAATTTTCAATATTAGGTTTGTAATTAATATCTACGGCCAAAAATTAACATATTTTCATATGTAAGGTACGAAACAAACCTGGGCTACGTTCGTTTTCCCCTGACATTTTTCCAATTTCACTAGGTTTAAGTTGTGTCCCTAAAAACATATTTCGTTGCCCTACTTATTACTTTCAATCTACCAACCTGGCTTTAGTTCAGAAATAGTGTCTCTAATTGCATCATCAAAACTGTCTACTGGATTTGTTGTCATAGTCAAAGTGGTTTCTAGCCTAGGTTTTGAGTGTGTCAAATTTTCAGTACTATTAGATTTGTAATCAATATCTACGGACAATAATTAACATTTTTGTATGTAAAGTACGACACAACCTGGGCTTTGTGTTTCTTTTATTGTTTCTCCAAAATTATTTGTTTGATTCTGTGTGGGCGTGACTAACCCAGGTTTTGTTACCTCAACCTTATTTTGGTCTAGGCTGCTAGGTTGTTTATCTACGACTCAAAATGTATTTTTTCCCGGATGTACTAATACTAACCTGAATTAGCAACATTTGTGCTAGGTTGAGACAATATTGAGACTATATCTGTGATTTTATTTTCAAAATTATTTTTAATTTGATTTGGTGCTAGGGTTGCTTGTCCAGGTTTGGTGGTTTTATTATTTTCCGTTTCCCATACAAACCCAGTAGGCTTTGTTTGAGTAAAATTTTGATACCCTTCAAGTCTGTCAGGCCAAGGTTGCCCAGGTGGAATAATTTGGCCTAGAATTGTGCCAGGACTTGGGTGAAATGTTGGTCTATTAGGTTGATATTCTGTAAAAATATTAGTAGTACTCTGGACACAACTATAGAAATATTACAGACCTAGATTAGTACTAGGTTTCTTGGTTGAAGTAGCGGTTTCTTGTATTTTATTTTCCAAACTAACTGTGCTAGAGCTTAGTTCAGGTGATAATTGACTAAAATTTTGATAACCTTCAGGTTTGTCGGGCCAAGGTTGTCCAGGCGGTATTATTTGACCTAAAATACTGCCAGGGTTTGGGTGATGTGGAGGCCGGTTAGGTTTATATTCTACAAGTATCAAGTTATTTTTTATAAGTTAACAAAAGAGCCAACCTAGGCTAAAAATCGTAGTGCCAGGTTGTTCAGTTGTAGAAACAGTATCTTTCATTTTGTTTTCTAGATTAATGCCAGGCATTAATTGACTAAAATTCTGATAACCGTCAGGTTTATTAGGCCATGGTTGCCCAGGCGGTACAATTTGACCTAAGGTACTTCCAGGATTAGGATGAAACGGTGGCCGGGAAGGTTTATAATCTACAAACGTACAATTCACCATAAAATACATATTAAAACCTAGGCAAAACCTAGAGTGACTCCAGGCTTAGGTGGAGTTGTGGGAATTGTTGTTTCTTTTATTTTGTTCTCTAGAACAGGCGTTTGGGTGACATTTTGTTGATCTTCAGGTTTGTCAGGCCAAGGTTTGCCCGGAGGAACAATTTGTCCTAAAGTGGTGCCAGGTTTAGGGTGATAGAAAGGCCGTACCGGTTTATATTCTGAATTTTAACAATGAAAAACGGTTTAGAAAATTCAAAAACATACCTAAATTGATTTGCGATTTGGCCAAAGTCGCACACAACACGAAAACGCAAACAATTTTGTCCATCTTGGACGAAGAATGAACGGAAAAACCGCCGATTAACGGGAGCGAACCTGTTTGTTGCTTGCCACAAAAATTAAAAATAGCGAGACCGTTGACCGGTGGTTGAATCCTATTAAGAAATTTGGCGGGATTATTAATTTAATTCAACCTTGCTCAGAAATTATGCAAATAAATGTTGTAGTTTACAAATTGTAGCAAATTTAATTCCTTTCACGTCTTGCTCAACATTAACACTTCTACCGTGCGATCAAAAATAAAATAAATTAGAGTAGGCCGTGATTAAAGTCCTTCAGTTGGTAATCCTGATTTTTGACATCAAATGTCAGCAGAAACTTTGACAAGTTTGCGTTTTATTCATTTTGAGTGAAATAATGTTTACTTTAAAGCAGAAAATTTTTATTGTTGCAAGTTATTACAAAAATGCTGTACAAGACGAAAACGGTGAATGGTCATTTTCACTTTCAGTTTGTGTGGAAAATTTTCAGCCTAGATTCCCAGGCAATGTATTGCCAACTGTAGAATTTAATCGACGCCTACACTAATTTTTTTTTATCGCACGGTATATTTGCCTTATGATTTTTAAGTGTAAGATCTATAGATTCCATAATTATTTTTACTAAAATAATAATATGCATAAATGCAAAAGTGTGAAACCAAGCGTTTTTGCATAGACTAATTATTACTTTACGAAAAAAGTAATTGGTAGTGTAAAGTACTGTAAAAATGTGATCGTTTTTCAAAAATAAAATTTTTCGAAATTCATTACAGTTGGCAACCTAGAATTTTTTAAAACAATGATCTAAAAATTATTTCTAATTAATTAAGATATTGTTTTTTACTATTTAAATTTCTCTAATAGTGTCGAAAGTTTACTTTTTTACTTAAACTGAGTGGTTATAACCTTGTTCAATTGTTCAAATTAAAAATTTGCTTCAACTCTTGGAAAAGGCAAAAACATCATTTTGACCTAATTCTATGATTTTTGGCTTGTTTTTAACAAAATTTTGGGAAAGAATTCTGTTTCTAGCTAGGTATGTACCAATATTTGTGACAAAAAAATCTATTGGTAACACTGATAAAAAGTAATCCTTCTAATTTGTTATATCTATCGGTTGAATGGAAGGTTTCTGTCAAATTTTACGACAGCGACCTACTCAGTTCTTTTTTATTTTCGATAAAACTATCAAATTTTATTTTGCAAAAATCTCACAAATTTTACACAAACCCTATATCGGCAAAAAGCTCATAAAAAATGCTGTGCAGTTGTGCAATGAAATATAGGGTGTTGTATTTAAAAAATTGAGTAATTGCCATTTGTAATTTGTCATTTTCAAAAAATCGTAGTAGGCGATGGAACATCCACTCCAAGTTCACCTGTATTTCAGAAGATGTGCTAAATTTAAGGAATCGACTGGAAAAAAATTGGTTAAATCATTTTAAATGGTTCTGAAATTATGAATTTTTCTGCGAGTTTGACACATACATTGACATAAGTCAAAAACTATTACAGATAAATCTAAGAAACCCGGATGCGTTATATCGACAATTTAGTGGCGAATCCAAAAATGTAACAAAAATTGAGGGTTTTCATTTTGGGACATTCTGTATATATGTAGAAATATTTTTAGAATAAGCCTCATTGGCGATCTTACCGTTTAAAAAAAAATCAAATTGATAGCTTGAATAGAAAAAAAGTGATGGACGCACTATTGGGTCACTCTGTATTAGAACAAACATACATTGAGTAATGACAATATAAAATTTTGACGTTTGAGTTGAAAGTCAAGGTTGCCAAATTAAAATTTTATTTAACACCAACTTGAGGTAAAAAAATCAAACAATCATTTACAGTCACCCTGTACATTCGAAAACGGTAAAAGTAAAATGTTACTTTCGGCCCGGTTTAGTAAAATTTTGTAAAAAAACAAATAGAATTGGTGTGTTTTTTCAACCGGTCTTCAGGTAAATATTTCATTCTCGTCGGTTTAAAAACCTTGCTTTCGTTTTAATAGTTGATAAAATCAGGTAGAAGTTTAATTAATCTACTAATTTGGGTATGGAAGTTCCTGGTGTTATAATTTGATGGTGCGTGAGACTTTTGACCTTCAGTGGGTAAAAATAAGACAAACTGTGCACATATGAATTAATTTATTTACAATTATAGTGGAGCTTCTTTGGAAGAATACATCACTGGTAAAATGAGATTTTTATTGTATACAATCACAAGATCGGTATAAGAAATAAACCTAAAGTAGTTTTTCGTAAAAACAGAAAAACTTGACTCCCTTATTACTTCTTTAGGTATATTTCAGCGGAAACAAGAGACAACTTGAGTATTTTGTTGACGAGCAATCATTTGAGCAGTTTTTCGTCTTGCATAACAAAAGCGACGTTAAAACAGACGGAAGACACTCATTCGAGCATTTTTGTACTTAATTATTCAACAAAAAACTGTTAATTGGATACAAATTATTTCGAATGGCGTAATAATGCACCCCTGCGGCCATTACGACAAATAAATGCCAAATTGCGTGAGCACAAGGGATAACCCCATCACTTTTAAAAAACATCACACCCAATACGTAGAGAGCACCGCCGATTTTCAACTCCGTCAGTCCGGAAAATTCGTGCTGAAAAAATTTCTTTACAAGTTAGAAAAGACAGAAAAAAACAGAAAACGTGCAAATACCTCCGAGATTAGTAACAAGCCGGGGCCGATCCCCATAATCAGGTAGAAACAAGTTTCCAAAGTTTTGTATTTCTCGTGGAAAGTCTGCTGGTAAATGATACCCAAAAGGGCCAAAAGCCAAACAAACCAATTCATGAAGGAAGCCCAACCGTCCTGGGGCAACTGCTCGAGGGTCAGCCAGGGGAAATAGGAGCCGGCTATGAAGACATAAATCATAGCCCTGTCACAACGGTGGAGGACATCCTTAAGTTTCCTGCAAAAAAAATAATCGTGTATTACTGGTTGCATAACAGTGTATATTTGGTTGCATAACGGCGTACCCGCGCTGGTTGCAGAAAAAACAGCAATGGAACGACGTAGAAACGCTGAAGAGGAACACCAGTGTGGCCCCATAAACCAGCGCCGACATAGTCTGAGCCCCATTTCGGGACCGTTCGAGGAGTTCAAGGGTGGCGAGGACGCTGGGTATGACCCATACGCCATGGGTGAGCACATTAGCGATGTGTTCGATGGGTGTCGGATTGTAAGCTTCTTGCGGCGGGGCTTTTTTGTTCATCCATTTTATCCTAGAATTGTTCTCCAAGAATGTGACACAAAAACTGCAAATTTTACCTTTTCCATGTGTCCAAAGAGGTGAGTTTGTTGAAAAAGAAGCAACACTGCTGAATGACAGTGTTACTTATCATTCCTGGAAAAGGGTAAATGGTAAATGGGTGGTTTCATGGGTGTCATTACCAAGAATGGATAAACAAACAGGCCGCCGCACGGCCCTTGCCCTTTGAACTGGGTTTGTTTAGGTTTTGACAAGTGACAGGTGACGTTTGGATGACAGGGCCGGAGCGCGAATTTTGGGGCCCGATTTTTATTTTTACAATTGATTAATTTTGGGTTTTGTGGTAATAGAATTAGAAAAGTCAGTATTTTACGTACTTGCTTTCTGGCAACGCGACACGAAATACAACAGGTGATGTTTGGACGACAGGGCCGTAGCGGGAATTTCGGTGCCCGATTTTTATTTTTCTAAATGATAGAACTAGAAAAAGGCAATATTTTACGTACTTGCTTTCTGGCGACGCCGACGCGACACTTGAGTAATAGAATTTAAAAAATAGTTTTGTTTCATGATAAGATTAAAATTTGATGATAGTTAAACAAAGAACTTACTGTTTTACTTTGTGTGATTATAAAGGCCACTTATCGCACCTCTTGACACCCTCTAAGTGTAAAAACTTCACACAACATCGAATTTTTATGGTTTCAATCAATATAAACTGAAGGACGAAATATAAAACAATACTAGAAATTGGTCAACAAATTCCTAAATACATAAAAGCGTATAAATTTATTGTACCTAGCCTTGAAACCGACGCCGGATAATTAGTAGGTCGCTTAGTAATTATCATGAAAGTACCATAGGTCGCCTGGTCAATTCTATTGAAGTGGTCGATCTTTTTTTTTAAATTTGAATTTAACTAAATTACAAGAGTTTTTCAAAGTTGCCAGTACTTATAATTTCAAAGTCATAGCTCACTTTTATTAGAATTTTGGTTAAAATAAGTAACTATTTTTTTTTTTGTTTTTAACTAATGTGATGTTTTATGCAATCTACGATTGTGCTAATTAATTATGGAGCGATTAAAAAACGTCGGTTTTACCTTTGAATATGCGAAACACTTGCACTTGTAACGGATTTGTTTTTAAATGTGGCAATTGTGGTGATTCTAGAACACGTTATTGTGATTATGTCGTTGGAGTTACTTGAGCTTCATTGATTTTAATTAAAGGAACTATTCAGGACTGCAAAAATGTGCGTTTGTGATCTGAATTATGTAACAAAGCAATTTAATGAATTAGTTTGAGAGGCACGTGATGTTGGTAGTACTATCAGTTTATCAGTTTTCAATTTATTTGGTATTATTTAATAATATCAGGTCGATTTTTTGGAAAATATACAAAACATCGCTTTAGAATTATGAAAATTAAACGCTTTCTATTTGTATTACTGTAGAAAAGACGAGTTTCCCAAAAAATGGTATTTTTTGGTCTTTATTTTGAAAATTTTACGTTATATTGATGAATAAATTCAATTCAACATTTTATGAGATAAACTGAATTTTACATAACCCATTTTTTGGAGCAAAAATACTTGGGGACGAAGAAATATTTTTGTTTCAAAAACAAAAATAATGTTGTTTTGGTTAGTCATTGTAATTGATACTTAATTCTGATAAGCAAAACACCTGTCAGCTAAATATATATATATAAAAAACTTTTTGTGCTGTCTGAGTGTTTAGGTAAATATTTTGATATGATTTTTTTTTAACTTTATTGATAAGATTGTAATTTCAATTTGGGTAGTATAGGCAACCAACAATTCAACAGATTTTTTTTATTATTTATTAGAGATGTTAAAGTGTTATAAAAGAAATAAAAATCAATTTAAAGTAGTCCAAAATTAACAAATTTGAGATAATTTTTTAAACTTTTTGAGAAATATTTCAAAAACCACAATCACACCGTCGATCTTTTATGGGTGTCAATTTATACAATTAATTAATTATAAATTGACTTAAATTATGGAACTTTACTTTATTAAAGAATGAATGTAAAATTTTTGGTTGTACAGGCAACCAACAATACACAATTGTTTTTTAATCGAAAGTTGATTTTTATTATTTCTTAGAGGCGTTAAAGTGTTTAAAAAAATTAAAGTTAATTTAAGTAGTCCAATTTTAATTAATTTCAATTATTAACGAGAATAACAATTTTTTAAATGTTTAAAAACATCAACAATTGGTTGTGTAGGCAACGAACAATACACCTTTTTTTTAATAAAATTAAGTAATTTTTATTATTTATTAAAAACGTCAGTGTTGCAAAAGAAATGAAAATTGATTAAAGTAGTTTAATTTTAATTAATTTGAACAAATAACGAGATAAATATTTATTTAATTTAAAAATAGATTATTTTTAAACCACAACCACATCGCTAATTTTTATAGGTGTCAATTTGTGCGATTAATTAATTACAAATTAACTAAAATAGGGTTTTTGTAGCTTTATTTTATAGTAGAAAGAAAATTTTTTGGTTTTATAGGCAGCCAATAATACACAATAGAAATTTATAATTTTTATGTTTAAAATTTTTATTATTTATTAGAAACGTCGAAATCTTGTAAGAAAACTAAAAATGAATTTAATGTAGTACAACTTTGGTCAATTTGAATTAATAACAAAACAATTTTTTGTGAAATATTTAGAACCCACAATCACACCGCTGATTTCCATGGGCGTCAAATTGTGCCCTCAAATGATTCTAAATTGTCTGAAATTGGGTTGTGTCGAATTTGTGACAGTTTCAAATCGTTGTCAAAATCCTCCGTTTTCGAATTTGGCGCCATTGGGTCGCTGCGTGCGATTCCTCACTTATCAGCTGTTCAATACAATATGGATGTGTAGTGGTGTTGGTGTTTGTTTGGAAAAGCAAGGTCAGCCTTTGTGTGCGAAATAAGAAGAAAGTCGAAGTAACAACTTGTAAATCTTTCAGATCGCGACGTAGTTTTAGTGTTTTTCGATAAAAACCGTGTAATCATCACTTCGAACTCATGAGTAATATAACTTCATCCGACTCTAATGGGACTAAGAATTATTTCGTGAACTACAACCAGGACAGCACGTAAGTTTGCGCCCCTGACCCTTTCGCGTCCCTGCGCCCCTCGGGGACACCTACGAGACAAAGAAACGACCTCTTTTCCGAGGAGGTGAAAGGTCTTTTCTAGGATTGCACTCGCGAAGTTGCGATATTTTAGTAGGTCGTGGACGATCAAATAAACAAACGATACACCTGCAATCAGCTGATTGACAGGAACAGTCTTGATTTTTACTTTTTTTGCGTTATTAACGATGATGTCATTGCATGGCACGTAATTTGCGAAATTTGCGTTCTGACAATAAATAAAACAACAATTTTATTGACAGGATTGACGTATCGATGTTTTTCTTTTTGTTCGTTATCTTTGACTTTCCAGGTTTACGTAGGAAAAATTGCGCATTTCACAGTTGTAATGTGTAATACAGACGGTCAAATGTACCAATCAAATTACGAATTTCATAAATTTTAAGTAGGCAGGGAATGTCAAGCAATTGTTTCAGCCACGTAGATCGATGGTTTTTTGTTTTAATTTTGATGAGTAACTACGTGAGATAAGATCGTTTTTTATCAAAATTAGTGATGTTTCCTTTGTGTCTGGTGAATTATCTTATAATTCATTAAATAAAACAGTAAAATCACTAATTACAACGATGTGATCATGTTTCAATAATTTGATAATCAAGTGGGTTTGTAAAATGTCAATAACGTCAATAAAAAAGGATTGCTTCGGGTTATGTCAAATTGCAATGTCGTTAGTTTTGAACTTGAATTAATTACTTTTTATTTTACAATTTTAAGTAAAATCTAGTAAAAAAAAATATGTTTTCCAGTTGGTTTCATTATTATGTCATCGGTTTTGTTGTTTAATTTGGCAAGTGGGTTGTGGCGTCATTAATTTTGAACGTGGGTGTACACCGTGCATATTCATGGGAGAAAATTATTGTCGATGCGATAAAAAATATTTTTACGATTAAATGGTGAGGGACAACAATTGGCTTTATCTAAATAATATTTTCATTTGTTAGACGTTGAAGGTTCAATAAAAAAATATAAAATATATTTGAATGTCTTTTTTTTAGTTCTTATTTAAAGTGGAATAATTAAATGAATTACAAAGCGGAGTCAAAATTGATTTCGCTATTGTAATAATTTAGAGGATGTTTTGCTTTCACAAAAATGTGAAATCTTAGAAAAAACTAATTTCAGTGTTTAAATTTTATCACATTAGCTTTGGTGTCGACTGTACTTAGTGACATTTAAAAATGAAATTTAGTTAGACTAAAGATTAAGGAAAACCAATCTTAATTAAAATTTGACGTTTTTGACAATTATTATTTCGATTGATGACAGTCAAAAATGTCTGTTTTCAGTTAGGTCAAATTTTCTTTTTATTGTTCTGTACTTTTCGTATATTAAAATACAAGGTGGACCAACTAATTTTATATTTATTATAATTAAAACATGGTTTTGTAAGTTGTGTTCAAGGCGAAGCCGAGTTTGACACTTCGCAAATTGTTTTTTTTTTTGGTAAAAAAATATTATTTTCAATCTTTGAAATCTTTATTAAAAGTTTACGAAAAAAATGCCATATAAGGTTAAAAAAAATATCTATAAAAATTTCAAAGTTATTATTACACAACAAGAAAAATGTTAAAAAAAATCTATCTATAAAAACTTGAAAGTTATGAAACTTTAATTTGCATTTTGACTATTTCTATTGGAAAAGTAATTTTCCAAGTTTTTTTGCTACAGTCTATTAGAAGAGGAAACAAGGAAGCTGTATCCTAAATTGTAACTCTGTTTAATGTTATTTGTGTTTTTTATTGGTAAAATTTTTGTATCTTTACTAAATAATTATATACTCGCACAAGATCATCAGTATCATTAAATAGACAAAACTTTTTTTCGATTGTCAAAAAAATGTTAAAATGTTTCCATGTTCCTGGTTTCTTATCTTACTTGAAATTTTTGTATGGGGCGTGAGTTCTGACACACCCTGTATGTTCTTTATGTTTTTTTTCGGAATTTCAAATTTGTGCTTGAATAGATACCTTCTGCAACTTGTACTTCAATATACTATTTTCAAACACGTCAGGTAAATAAATACTGGGGTGTCTAAAAACAAGCGATTTTGGAAGGTTTTTTGGGTGATCCTCAACCATTTTTTTGTGCGCCCAATTTTTGGTGGTTTATAGGCTTTAAAATTCTTTTGGAGTGTTTGAAAACATCTACAGGGTGTTAAAAAAAGATTGTAATATATTTAAAGAGGTAATACTATGGACCAAAATAAAAGTTTTAATAAATATGGGTCCGCAAAGTAACGGAAGTGAAAATTTTTAGAATTTTTACTAGAAGCTTCTCTTTTTCGTTGGAAAAGATTGCAAATAAATGTTTCAAAAAACGAATAATCTCCGATATCTCCGAACCGTTTATTAAGACTTTTTTCTTTGTTTTGGTCCATACTATTACCTCCTGAAATATTTTACAATATTTTTTGACACCCTGTATATTATCTATCACTTGGTTTGATTGGTTTTTGATAAATTTTGTGTATTTCTTAATTAAATTAAACTAATATCTGTTTGATTTATTTCTTATGGTTTTTAAATTTCGAGTTCGAGGCGAAGCCGAGTTTGGCATCTATCGTCTTATCGTTTTTTTTTTTGTTGAAAAACTTGAATTTTTTTGAAGGTCACTAGTCGTCGGCAGCAAAAGCGGTTATCGTCTCTATTCCCTCAACAACGTCGACGATTTGGAACTTATCTACTCGAACGATGTCGAAGAAACCTACATGGTGGAACGTCTCTTTAGCAGTAGTTTGGTGGCAACTGTGGCTCTCTCATCCCCCCGAAAGTTGAAAGTTTGTCATTTTAAGAAAGGAACGGAAATATGCAATTACTCATACTCGAACACAATTCTTGCTGTTCGCATGAATCGGTAATAAAAATAATTGTATTTTTATGCAGCCCTCCCTCAAAAAAAATTTTTAGGTCTCGTCTTGTCGTTTGTCTTGAAGAAAGTCTCTACATTCACAACATACGCGATATGAAAGTCCTCCATACGATCAGAGACACGCCCCCTAACCCGCAAGGCCTCTGCGCTTTGAGTATAAACCATGATAATTGTCTTTTGGCGTATCCTGGATCGGCAACAATCGGGGAAGTACAGATTTTCGATGCCGATCATTTGGTTCGTAAATTATCCCTTGTTTTTGTTATTCCTCATTTGTTTCTTTCATAGCATGCTAAGACGATGATTCCCGCTCATGATAGTCCACTAGCGGCTCTAGCATTCAGTCCTAGTGGTACACGAATCGCCACTGCATCAGAAAAAGGAACAGTTATTCGAGTTTTTTCATCAGCTGATGGTCAAAAACTCTACGAATTTCGAAGAGGAGTGAAACGTTGCGTCGATATTTCGTCTTTGGCATTCAGCACTTGTAGTCAGTTTTTGTGTTGCAGTAGCAATACGGAAACGGTGCACGTGTTTAAGTTTGAGGAACCGAAAGAGAGGTTTGTTTGAGGAGGTTTTAAAGTGTTTTTTTTTTGAGTGATTTTGATGGTTTTTACAGTCCTAAACGCAATGTGGAGGAGAGTAGTTGGATGGGTTATCTTTCGAGTTATTTGCCGACACAAGTTACCGATGTTTTTACCCAAGGGAGGGCTTTCGCAGCCGCGCATTTGCCCACGCAAGGGTTGAGGAACGTTATCTCGATTATGACGTAAGTTGGCCTGTGATTTTAAAATCAAGTTGGCGACATTGAATGATTGTAAATCAAGTAGGCCACAAATCTGAAATTTTAATTTGGGAACACTGTTTGTCAAAATAAAACGTCGCAGTGTTGCCAGATCTGGTAATTTTTTTGCTAATTTGGTTTTTAGGTGAAAACTAATGTGATTTTTTGGAAATTAAAAAAAAGCAACAAAAAATTGTTTTGAATATTTCATTTATTAATTCATTGTGCATCTTTTTCGAATATTTTTCACGTTTTTCAATCAGAAATTTGATTATTTCACCAAATTAAAAAAAAAACAACCTTTTTTTAATTTGAAACATAAAATTTCGTTAAAAACAAGCCCAAAATAGGCCCTAAAATGGTGTTTTTTCTGTTTAAAAATATAAAATTAAATCGAAATTAATACTATTATTTAGCTTGTTTTGCTCGACTTTCTTCGTTTTTTGAACTAGAGTCAGTTAATTTGCAAAATCTTGTCCAAATGTACTTAAAAAATCACAAAAACAATTCATATTGTTGTTATTTTGTTTCTTCTACTCGATTTATCTTTTTTTTTTGTGCAAAATTAAGACAAAAATAAGGTAAGAAACCATAAAATTTGACCGAAAATGCTTTTATGCAGATTTTTTTTTACTAAAAAATATCAGGTTTTTCGCTAAAACAAAAAGTCAAATTCAGTCTAAAATTGCGAAAAATCGAGTGTTGTGGCGCATTTTTCAGCTAGAAACGAAAAATTTTAAGCCAAAAAATTACAGACTAGTCCGAAAATGATGTGATTTTTGTCTTTTTATGCTAATTTGGTGATTTGATGAAAACTTTCGTAAAAGTAATGTGACTTTTTGGAAATAAAAAAAACTACAAAGTTAATATTAATATTTTAATTATTAATACATCGTGCATCTTTTTCGAGTATTTTCTCCGTTTTTCAATCAGAAACTTGATTATTTCACCAAATTTCTCAAAAAAAATCGAAAATCCACCAAATTGGTTAAAAATAGTTCTATTTGTTGTTTGCGAGGTTTTGCTAAAAAGGATGGAAAATGACTTTTTGGCTTTGTTATGCTTAGGTTGTCAGAAACACAAAATTTCGTTAAAGAAAGCCAAAAATTTAACAAAATATGCCTAAAATGATGTTATTTTTGTTTAAAAGTATAACATTACATCGAAATTGGTATTATTATTTAACTTGTTTTGCTCGACTTTCTTCGTTTTTTGAACTAGAGTTTCAGTTAATTTACAAAATTTTGTCTAAAGGTACTTAAAAAATCACAAAAACAATTCATATTGTTATTATTTTGTTCGTTTTACTCGATTTATCTGGTTTTTGAGCAAAATTAAGACAAAAATAAGTTAAGAAACCATAAAATTTGACCGAAAAAGTCAACAAATTCAATCTAAAATTGCGTTTTTCAGGTGGAAACGGTAAATTTTAATAAAAACAAGCCAAAAAAAATACAGACTAGGCCGAAAATGATATCATTTTTTTTTCGAGTAAGCAGATTTTTGAACAACAGAAAAATCTCTAAATTGTTACAAAAAAGTATTGCATTTATAGAGGATGTCCCAAAAGTAAACCGCCATATGTTAACCTGTGTTAGAAAATGTAATTCTGAGAAAAAAATTTAAATATTTCTCATTCGTTAAAAAGTTACAGCTTAGCAAAGAGTAACAATGAATTTTCTACAAGTTGGTCGTGATAAATTAAAAACGATGACATTTATGAAACAATTGCTCAGTTCCAAGTCTAATTTAATTACTGTTAATGTGATATAAACATAAACATGATTCCGAAAACAATTTATGAGATAAAAAAAACTTTTAATTGGAAAAAAATTAGAAATTAAAAAATTGCTTAAAATGCCTTCAATTACTTCAAATTAATGAGGCTTTAAACCAAGCAATTGCTTCATAAAAATATTTAAACTTTTTTCTAACACAGGTTGACGTATGGCGGTTTACTTTTGGGACATTCTGTATTTTGACCAAACTCTTATTAGACATTAAAAAACTGTAAATCTTCAACACTTTTGGAAAGATTTAAGTCGTATGATTGACATAAGAATAATTCAGTGTTGCCAACTGAATTTCTAAGTCGCAGGAGATTTGTTTCCTCCGTTGGCAATGAAAATTTTAGGGCCCAGAACCAGTTGCGTTTGCTTGTGGCGACCGAGGAGGCGAAGTTGTATGTTTACAATTTGGACCCGAACGAAGGTGGCGACCTCACATTGTACAAGCAACACCGTCTTGACGACTCACGTGACACCCGTGACTCATCAAAAGGTACAGCTATGAGCGAACCGCAAAACATCGATGGAGGTAATCACTTAACCCCTTTTTCCCGCCCCCGTTTATTTTTTGTTTTTTTAATAGTATGACACAAAAGTCTTGCAAAAATAAAAGACGTTAGTCGCTTGTGACTGTCGAATCATCGACTTATCACCAAAGCTAACGCCGACAAACCTCAAATCCTGCAATCCTGATTTGATTTTTGTTTCAGTTTAGTTAATTTCAATAAATTTTTGTCTTGTTTTTTTGTTGGGCGTTTGTTTTTTCGATACGTCGAATGAGCAAGCGCCACGTCCCTCCCTCCACCACCTGTAGTTTTGCTGTAAACCCGCACCCAATATGATTTTCTCTGTTCCGTGCAAGGCTCTGCCATACTAGCTAGCTACGCCGGCATCGTCAAGGGCAATCCCGTGGGCCAAATGTCAGGTACTGGTCAGTATAACAAACCACACTTAATGTTTCAAATTCATGAAATAATTTTCAAATAACGCGCGCACTTTCTATGCCTGCTTCACATACTCTCTTTGTTAATTAAATTCCATTTTTTGTGTCGGAATTTCTTGGCCAAGCCGGCGGAAGGCGAGTTTAGACGTGTTTGAAAAATTTCATTTTTGTACAGAGTCGGAGAAGCTGAGGGAGATGGCGGCGGCCACCGAATCGCCCCCGAAAGGAGGGCCCTTCCACTTCAACGACGACCAGGAATATCCGCCCTTGACGCAGAATTCGGACTGAGATAGGTACCAACTCATGTTCGGGCTGGTGCTCCTCATTCATTTCGTCGTCAGGATTAGCGAGGATTTGATTTTTTATCTGTTCAATTTGAACGGATGATTTTATTTCTAATTAATTTAGTTTTTTGTATTGTCATTTGTTGAGGGCAAATTCATATCAATTGACACTATTTTTATTTTTAGTAAATCAATTTGTTCGCACTTTGCGTAAACAGTTAGTAAAAATGTCTAATTTATTCTGAAATACTGTAATAATAAAGCCATGGTTTCGCCCTTATTTTCTGACACATGAGGGAGTGTCTGATTTATTACAGTAGTTTTTTTTTCCAATTATTTGCGCACATTGTGCTGTGTACATAAATAGTTTTAAGAGTGACAGTGTGTTTATATGAAAAGAGTAAACCTGTGACTAGAACGATGATTAGAAAATTGTTAAATGAACGAATGAAAGTGTGATAAATAATAACCATTTCATGGATAAACTTGTTTTTATTGAGTTATGTACGAAAACGTTATCACCGTACAATAGAACATTAAAAACAAAACAAAAACCAAGACTCGGTAATTTATTTACAGTATGTAACTAATAAATAATCGCCGTTACACAATTTAGAAAAATAAGTGAGACTAAAACTAAAGATTTACATGTATTATAACCATTAAATAATAATTCAATCACCTCGTGCAAACCTGAAACGAATTGGTTACCTCCTGTGTTAATTCGTAGACCTCGGAAGACTGCACATTTCGCAATTGCTCACATCCGAAGTGTTCAAAAACGTGCAATGGGGGCACGTCCACTTGGCTAGCCCCCCGCTCGACGACCCCGCTCCCACGTTGACACTTCCGGCCACACTGCCCGGCCTGAAACCCCAAATCAGTTCAATTCAAACGATTAATCGCGTTACCTGGACGGGGGCGGTGAACTGGCCGCGATCAACTGCTCGATGGTGGCCCAATGCTCGCTCCTGGACCACTCCTCGGCAGCCCCCGCGTCGCGGTTCTTCAAAGCGCACAGCAAAGGCCCCATGTACTCCTTCATGGGGAGCATGTCCATAGTCGCGATGTAGAGCAACAAGTGGAAATCGTTGATCGCTGTGAAAAATTCGCTCGAGGAGAATTGCGAGAGGTATTGGTTGAGGGCGTTGAAATCTTGGATGTCGCCGTCAACGAGGCGGTTTTCCACGGGGAAGGGCTGTTTGGAGGGGTCGCAGTTGAAGGTGTACGAGGGGGTGACAGGGGTGGAGGCTGGGACGTCCAGCAGGAGGTACTCCACCGGCAGGGGGCGGCCCAGCCGCGACACCTCGTTACCGTAGTTGTCTTTCTCCTAAAACAAACACAATTTTTCACTTTTCAAAACGGTATTTTCAAGGCAAGTTTTGACAATTTTGTTGATAGAAATTAAAAACATCAAATTAAAAGTTCAAATTGCGTTTGAGTTAATCTGAAACTTCACAATTCCTTCAAAAAAATCAGTATTTTGTGATATTAACACTATTACTTTGTTTACAATAAAAATGAAAAAAAAAGATTATTGTGCAAAATGAGACTTTGAAAAAAATCGAAATTAACATTTTCTTAGGTGAAATTATGCGGGGAATTAGATTCTGTAAAAATTTTCAAGATGTGATTAACAATTTCAAAGATATCGTCGAAAATTCGAGTTCAGAGCGAAAAAACCTGAAAATACGTCTTTGTTTTTTTTTGAAAATCTTAAATCTTTAGTTGAATCAGATTTTCGATTTTATTACTCAATATAGCTCAAGGAATCTAAATCTGTAAGAATTATTTTGATACGCCTAACATTTTGAAAATCAAGGCAACATTTTTGTTTCCGGTATGTAGTAAAAATATAAAAACAGATTTTGTAATTTTATGAAAAATCTAATGGACAGGTTTTGTGTAAAATGATCCTAAAGTTTAAAGAATAGCGTCAAATTTTTTATTTTTGTGACTTGAGAACACAAAAAGTCGCGATTTTGTCACATTGTGATAAAAATATGGGCAGTTATTGAACACAAATTTGGTAATTTTCGTGTAAATTTATCTGAGGATTTTGAATTTGTAAGAACTGTTGAGTTGCGACTAGTAGTTTCAAAAATATTGTCAAGAGTTGGCTTTTTGAGGGAAAAAACTCGGAAATTTAATATTTTATAATTTTGTGCAAAATAAGACTTTCCAATAAATTAAAATTAACATTTTCTTACGTAAAATTATCCGAGGAATCAGATTCTGTACAAATTTTACAAATTGTGTTTAACGGTTTCAAAGATATCGCCGAAAATCCGATCTAGAGTGACAAAAATGAAAATGGAACCTTTTGTGTTTTCCGAAAATCTCTGATGTTCAATCGAATCAGATTTTTGATTTTCTTTGTCAAAATAACTCAGATTAAATCTACAAAAACTAATATTTTGAAAAATAACGCTAATCGTTTTATTTGAATTCAACAAGGGAAAAGTTTCGCCAAAAGATGAAATAGTCTATGAGGAAAACAAAATTCTCTTTTACTTTTTCAAAATATTGTAGTTCTTGAACTTTGGACAATTTTTTTTTTAATTTGTGCATAATGGAGACTTCTAAAAGAATCGAAATTGACATTTTTTTAAGTGAGATCCGGGGAATCAGATTCTGTAAAAATTTTTAGGTCGTGGTTAACAGTATCACAGATATCGTCGAAAATTCGATTTCAGAACGAAAAAAGTGCGACTTTTTGTCTTTTTTTGAAAGCTTCAGATGTTCAATTGAATTAGTCAAAATGACTCAGATTAAATCTGCACGAATTAATTCGATTTATCTCTAATATTTTAAAAAATAAGGCTAAAATTCTAATTTTTGTAAGAGAAAACTCAAAAAGTTGAGATTGTGCCACGTTGTGACTAAAATGTGTAGAAAATGTGAATATTTTCAGGGAAATCTGAAAGAATTATTTGCTTACGACGTTTAGTGTCTGAAATTTTTGAGAAAAAATTCGTTTTATTTGAATTCAACAAGGACAAAAGATGAAACAGTGTATTGCGAAACAAAATTCTGTTTTCCTTTTCCAAAATATTTTGTAATTCTAGACAAAAAAATATTTTTTTTTAAGTTTAAAACTAGATAATATAACTGTGTTGTTCTCTGCTAAAATTAAACAATTTGAGCTATTTTGGAACGATGTTTTTAGGTTTTAAGCTATAAATCCTTATTTCAACAAATTAAGTGCAATTTTCTCTCAAAACAGTAATTTCGAACAAATTTTTAGCAATTTTGTTGAAAAAGATTCGAGTTACGCCCTACTTTTTTCTTTCAGCATTTTGTGTTTCAAACACTATTATTTTGTTTACGAAATAATGAACAAAAAAAAGATTATAGAAGATTAGTAAACATAGATTTTAAAAAATCGTTTAATTCGAAGGCAACATGGGAAACAGTTTCGCCAAAAGATGTAATCTATGAGAAAAACAAAATTCTCTTGAACTTTAGAGAAGAAAATTTGAATTTGGCGCGTGGCGTGAAGTTAGCTGCAGCTCTGTCAAAACCAAGGGACGCCATTTCGACGCATCGCAGCTAACTTGACTGTGTGCGGTTAGTCGTCAACATGATGTGGCACATCGTTCGGCGGCCACAATAACTTTAAGTTTTTTCGTAAATCTGCCGATTTTGTCGGCAGGAAACAATTATGTAATATAAATCTCGATTAGTTAATGCATCGTACACCGTACCCGTTTTAAACGCAAAATAGTACAAACACGCGAAAACCGTTGCCGAAACACCGAGTTTTTATAACAAAAAAAAAAAAAACGATTTAGACGACAACAAACGACACGACCAAAACCAAGCGTATCCCTCGTTTTATCGGATTTACTTAAAGGCTGTGCTACACATCGTAAACAAAAACCATAAAAATAAGAAAAAACGGTAAGTCCTACAAATTTATTGACCAACGCTATGCGTTTTTTGACAGACTCGATTCGCATTTGTTTTGCAAAGCCTACCATTTCCACCCCATTGAAAAACAATTTGACAGTAATTGTGCAATAATCGTCAAAACAATGCAATCACCTGCCCCTCACAGGTGCCCCCATTTACCCCCAGTGTCTTTTGTAGAAAAAATGGAACCGGTGCCCGAATTTGAGGAGTTGATGTTGTGCGGCTACTGCAAGCAGAAATTCAACGATTCCGACCAGAGCCCCAAACTGTTATCGTGCAAACACTACTTCTGTCTTCAATGCATGCGAACGAACTTGAACAAGGGCCAGGAATTGTACTGTGTTTATTGCTGGAAACGCACCGAAATCGGCGATTTGGGGCCCGAGTCGCTCCCAACCTACGCTCCCGTTCTCTGTCTTACGAAGAACTTCTCGCAGATGAAGTTGGGACCTCAGAAGCCCCCGGATAAACCTGCCAAAGTTATATCGGAAAATTGCCACACACATGCCATGCCCTTGGCGCTGTGGTGTCACACATGTTGTTCGCCGGTGTGTCGGGCCTGCGCCACCACCAGTGACCATTCCACACACCAAATCAAATCGCAGAATGAAGCTAAAGAACAACTCGTTGCCGAACTACAAGGCGATCTCGCTTTCATGAATAAAATGCTCTCGGAAATTCAACGATTGGCGATACAACAACGCGAATTTTTGTTGAAGATTTTGGAGGCTTGTGTCACGCTGAAGACACACGTGGAGGCCGATTTGACCAATAATGCGTCACATTTTGAATTGACCGAAACGCGAGACACTTTAGCCAAACTTCGACTGAATCTATCAATGGCTGAGAATCTGACCGAAGTTCATAATCTCTATTCGAGTGTCTCCGTTGAGAAGCAAAGACTCCAAATGAGATACCAGGAGATGTGTCTTCAATGCCAACTCGACGATTTAATCCGAAATTCGACCGTTATCTTCGATTTTCAACTCTTGAAGCAAGCTTTGAGCAACATCCATAATGGGGAAATGGCGTTTCCGGGGAATTCCCGAATCCTTCCACCATCCCAACAAAACCCAATACTATTCCTCGCTAATTACTGCATGTCTCAACTCTACTCCCGTCACGTCTTAACCAAACAAACCGTCAATGGAAGTCTCGATTACCACAACCATAATACCATCCCCCCGGTGAATTACCTCAACCACCCCCAACATTTAGTCCTAACAACACCGAAAAACATCTACCAGGAGAACAACCTAATGATGCAAAACGTGATTCACTCCCCACAGATTCGTAATCCGGCTAATATGTGCCCCCTTTACTACTTCAACATCGAAGTGAATGGGGCTTCGGTCGGAAGGATTGTTATCGAAGTCCGCGCCGATGTGGCCCCAAAAATGGCCAAAAACTTCGGCCTATTGACCACCGGTGAGGCCGGAATGGGGTACAAAGGATGTCAGATTTTCCAATGTTGGGAGGGCGAGAGTGTGATAACTGGCGATTTTGAATTGAATAATGGTCGTGGGGGCCGTTCCATTTTCGAGGATTCGTATTTCTTGCCCGACGACACGAAACTAATGGCAGTGAGGGGGACAGTGGGCATGCGACGAACGCAAAAACGTCACGATAATTTAGGTATGGTCGGTTCACAGTTTCGTATTATTTTGCAAGAGATGAGGGGATTCACCGGAATTTTCGGACATGTGATCGAAGGACTCGAATTGGTAGAAAAGATCAGTACGTACGGTGACACGGCCGGAAAACCGACCAAAAATATACTTATCGCAAAATGTGGAAAATTATAATCGGCTTGAATCGAAACACTTGATGTCTAATCAAACTTTGCTTAAAGAAAAAACACAAAAAAAATCATATATCTAGATGTTTTATATGTAGCTTCAAGCAACAGTGCGTAGTTGATCACGAGATGAAAACGTAATGATACCGTCTTAGCTTAATAGTACTATCGAATTCCGAAATAACTATATTTTCGTATCGTATCAAATATCGTATATAAAAAATGAAAAGTACGCGATATTTTTTATTGTTGTCGTTTTTCAGCAAGGGACGTTTTTAGCTTAATAAGTGTCTATGTTATGTTTGTTTCCTGGTGCGGTAGAAATGTTAAAGATTACAGAGTTTAAAAAACCCCGGAACGTCAGGAATTGCACTTGGCTTTTTTTTCGTACCTTATAGACTTAGTTGGGTTCATCGGACGTGAAGAAATCTCCCTGTTTTAGTGTGTTTTTTTTTCATTATATGACATGAATATAATTAGATTAAGTGCGGTAATTCGGTAAATTGTTAATTTGGGAATTGGTACGTTCGAGTGGATTACGTCAACGTGTGATCAATTCAAACGTACGGATTCTCAACTTGGTCCTAGTTTTTAAGTTAATTAATTAGTCGCAACCGGGTATATTTATCGAAGATTACTATAACATGCTAGAATCGCTGTCAATGTTATGATATAAAAAAAAATCAATTGAAAAAGAGGCAAATAAAATCTATATTTTTAACGTTTTTTTCGTTTATTCTTTTTAACTAACTGTCTGTCGTAACTAACTGGGATACAAACGAATATACAACGAACTTTAAAACACAAGGGGATTGTCCGAGTGCATATCAAATTGGGTTTTTTTTTCTCTAGTGTAGTGGTATCGTCTCATTTTGCCGAAATTTTTTTGTGCCTTACTGTTTTTTTTTCGTCAACCTATAGTTTAGTTTAGGTCTTCCCAACGTATCCTGCCTGCGATTGCAATTCCTGGATTTGCAAAAATAATCAAAATTGCTATGACAAGCCAACTATTATTTGTTTTCATCACAGACAGCAACAAATATCGATAATACACTCAAGTGATTAAAAATGACACTCTTATGGAGATTAGACAACCAAAAATGTTAATTTAGGTCAACACTGCCATAGAGTTGGCAAGCCTTTGCGACAATTGACAAGTGCAAATAGTCCAGAAGGCTGTTTCCATCTGCCACTTGTCAATTTTAATTTTGAGAGTTGCCAACTTAATTTTACAATATAATAACAATAACAATATTTTGACAGTTTAATTTCCAAAAAATACAAGGTTGCCAACTAAATTTTGGATTTCTTTATAAGGTCAATTTAAAAAAAAGTAGCCGTCAATGTCACACTTAAGATAAAATTATTTATTTCTGTATAAATGAGCGTAACCTTAAATTGTTTGGTAATTTGTCATCAAATAAATCAATTTTGTTGTCAAAATGTAAATAATTATAATGTATACAATATTTTTGGAATGACACTGAGGATTACTTTTTTTGAATTTTGACAGTTTCTGAAAAAAATTGAAAACAATCTTTTGACAGTTTTAACTTCAAAAACGACGCCATTGGGACCAGTTTTTTTGTCTGCATCCAGGAATTGCAGCGAAACTTTTTCGGAAAAAGTAGTGGCACTTTATTTTTTTATCGCTGGAGTAGAGTGGGTCTAAATGATCGAAAATGAAGCAGTACTCGTATCAATATTTCCAAAAATAGATAATAAGTAGCGCGAGAAATATCATAGCCTAATTAAATGTAAGCCTAAACCTCTCTAAATCCACTAAATGTTTCGCCAATTTCCTGTCTAAATGTGTAAAAATCGGTGTTAAAAGGGCGCAATCGTTCGATGAAGCGAGATTTTTTCAATTTTTGCTCATAATTGAATTAAGACACTGCTCAGTGCGCACTTGCCCTTCATCGTCCGATTTTTTCGGGTGGTTGCTGTCAAAATTTTTAGTTGTTTTTTTTGACACTGATTTCCGTCCATTTTGTTTGATACCACCCCTCCTTTTCTTGGCCCTCTTACTATACCTTCTTCGCTATGCTGAGGTCAATCTGGGGAGGGGGACTCGATTCTGATTGGGTATCCCCTCCCTATGATTCAACTCAACACGGTGACTAGATATTAGATGTGTTGCAGAATAAATGTGCAAATAATGAACAAAAAATCGTCTAAATAGACTAGAATCGTTGTAAAGTTTTTCAACTAGCTTAGATCATCATTTATGTAAGCGGACATGATATCACGTTGTCGGATAACGAAAAAAACAATAATATTTCTAGTAGAACTGTCGTTTAATTGTTCGAAAAAGGCTGCGTGTTGTGATATCATGTCAGTAGTTAGAAAAATAGTGGAAAAAAAGGAAAAAAAAAAACAGAAACCCCTCATGCGAAACTTAAATATAGCAGCCAGTGTTTGTGCCTTGTACCCGACTAAATATTTGTGATAATGAGTACCTACTACCACTTCACTCTAGATTTCAAATAAATTACTTTCCGCATCTGTAAGTCGGTGTGGTTTTTTTCATAGCCCACTTACCTTGTAGTACACGTCGGGGACGAACTGTTTATCCGAAGATTCACGCACGTAGCCGAGCTCGGGGGCGTCCTTCGTCGGCAAAAGGCAGTTGTCTCGCACCAGGGCCATGCACTGGTTTGACACCTGGTAGCCCTCCATGTGCACCTGGTTAGTCTTATCACCTGAAAAAAAATAAAATAAAAACCAATATTTTGACAGTTTTAACTAACACCATATTTTAACAGTTTTAACTTTCAAAAACGACAAGGTCACAAGTTTAATTCGTTTTATCCCTTAAAAAATTAAAACAAATATTTTGACAGTTTTAACTTTCGAAAACGACAAAGGTTGCCAACTTAATTTTGCAATTCATTTTATCTTCTGAAAAAAATTAAACCAACAATATTTTGTCACTTTTAACTTTCAAATATAACAATGTTGCCAACTTAAAAAAGCACTATTTTGAAAAAAAAAAACGAAGAGGTTGCCAACTTAATTTTGCAATTCGTTTTATACTAAAAAAAAAAAAACACGAAAACCAACAATATTTTGACAGTTTTAATTTTAAAAAAAAGGCCAGGTTGACAACTTAATTGTTTTATCCTCTGAATAAAATAAAACTAACAATATTTTTTTAACTTTTAAAAAAGACCAGGTTGCCAAGTTAATTTTGCAATTCGTTTTATATTCTGAAAAAATTAAGACCAACAATATTTTGACAGTTTAACTTCCAAAATTGCCAACTTAGTTGTTTTATCCTCTGAAAAAGTAAAACTAACATTATTTTGACACTTACAACTTTCAAAAATCAAGGTAACCAACTTAAAAAC